AAGTTAAAATTTGCATGGAATCGTATTTATCAAAAGGGAAAGTGGGCCACGTGTAGTCAGACATAGTTTAAGAAGAAAAGAAGAACTAAGTAGTACTGGATCTTCAGATGAATATATACGCAATAAAAGCTTTAATGTTGTCCTCTCGATGCTTACTGAACTTGGTGACACTTAGCAGCTTTCTCGAAAAGTGGGTTAAACCAAGTTTCTTCCCTTATTCACTACTTCACCATAGCCTTCATCTTCGACAATAAAACAGATACAGATATAAGGGCGATGCGCTGGCGATAAGAGTAGTGATGATACCTGATAGTAGTGATGGTGGAGGAGAAAGTCACGGTGGAGAGAAAATAGCTCGCATGGTGGGAGTAGATCGGTATGTCGAGTGAACGCAGGCGCCGGTAGCCATGGCGACGATTCCTTCGGATTGGCCACAGCATCCACTTTAATATCCCCGCTCTTGTGTTTCTACGTCGTAATCCACCATCGACAACCCCTCCGGTGTCCTCGTAACCGGCCATCTACCCTTACTTTTTCTTTACTTCGCCCACTCTCTCCTCAAGCCCTGTTTTTTCATTCTCACTTCTCCCCTTATCTGCTTTTTTATACGTATTCTTGGTATCTCCAACTAGCAACTTCCGAAGATCAATCTTGACTGCGAAAAAAACTACCCGAAAAGACTAGTCCCAAAAATGAACCAGCTTTCGATAAGGAAGAAATATCAGAAAATTTTCATAATTACTTGGTGAGAAAAACCTAAAACAATTTGGGCTGAAGTAAATTTGTATTTATCGTCGGAAAAAGTAACCCCTCTCGCGGTATAGACTCCCACTCAAAGTGATCTCACCCCTCTGCCTACGCCTCTCCGGTTGCCTCGGCAACTTGGCTTGGGGTTGGCTACTAGGTCTCGTATTCGCCGCCCTTGTACCCCTGCTAGATCTCAGAGCTAGTGAGAGAGTGGAAGACTGACTTACAGCATCACGAGGGCGATATTCCTCGACCGTAAGAGCAACAGAGAGAGTGAACTCCCTCGGTAAGGATACTTCAGCGCAAGCCAAGCGGATTAATGTATTTCGAATAATTCATAAGACCCTGTACATACTACGTTGTATGTCCCTTATACTGTATATATATGTTTATTACCGGCATCAGCCAATTTATGCTTAACCTTCTCTACTGAGAGTGTCACGCATTACAAAAAATCCACCTTCTATGAAAAGATTATTATGCTAGTTGGATTTTAAGTGATTAATACATATATCTATACTTGAAAATTTTCCATTTCAAAATTCCCATGAGAGCAAATTTCAATTCACCGTGATATGATGCATGGAGTTGTCGTGAATGATCGCAGTCACTAATTTTTATTTGAATTCTTCTTTGGAGTACTTGAAGATAAATAGCACGAGACTTATTTGAATAAGTAACTTTTTAGTGCTCCGTGCAAGCCTAATATGTCAGAAAGCTTTCGCTGTAACGAGGTAGATGTCAGATAATGAGGCAATTAGCGGGGAAAATCATCTTTCCATGTTGCAAAAAATCCCTCCGATTAAAGAATGTGTAAATTCAATTAATTCAATGCAATTTAAATTAATAACAAATTAAAAATATAAAATTTATACAAGTAAGATTAATATATACTGTTAGTTTAGAGTAATATATACTATTTAGTTTATGTAACATAACTTGAGAAGAAAATATAGTTTTATTATAAACGGGTTTCCATATTAGGTGATAGACTATGTCGACAGTTTTTGAGAGGGAAAGGTTATAAAAGCTTGTCAGGCTACTAATTCTCGAGATATCCGGTAAATATGTTTGCGTTATATCAACACGAGCCAAATCCTCGTACGTCATTCCCGTTCCCCGTTAATAAATTTGAAAGCTGTGTAAAGCAAACACGTGTCAAGAGATTATTTATAATTTATATATTGTGAAAGTTACGTGTATGCCTATTTACATACATCAGAAAACAACAAAAGTACATTAATAAGTAATATAACTATTTTTAATAATAGAAGTTGTATTTGCGTATATTTTTTTTAAGTAAAATATTTATATGAAACCGCATTGGACTTGAAAAGGTCAGTTGCAAGTTTCGATCTATTCTTTAGTGCTATTTTTTCACCCTCTATGAATATTTAAACTGTAAGCTAGAGAATCTATGCTTAACAAAGCTTTTTTTAACTAAGCTTTTTTTTTTAACCAACAAACTCTTGGTAGAATGATACTACTAAGATGGTGTTATTTTGAGTTGAGTAACATAGCCTCCTCTCTTACAATAAGCCCTGGAAAACGCACTGGATCCTTGTCTTATCGCAGTTCGTCTTCTGTGTAGATCATTAATGCAGCTGTCTTGCTTGCTCGTTCGCAAAGGATTCTGGTTGGTACCACTTTGGTATATCTAGCGTCGCCTCTTCCCCAACACCCGCGGGCATCCCATGCCAACCAGCGAGACTGGGAGCCGCTTTTGCTTTGTGCGCGTCGGGCGGTGGTACATCAAAGCCTCCTAGTTCCCGCTCCGGCCTTTGACGGTTACGTCGCAGCCGTTCGCTCAGTCGTCGTTCGGTAGCGCGAGTGCCCACCACTGCACGCGACGTATCAGTGTCATTTTAGGACGTTATTTTGGTGCCGCGAGTCTAAAATACCCCTCCGGATGCATTGGACAAAACAGTTAACCAGCATTTCGCTGGGCTCTAAATCCAGGGTTTATTGTCCAGCTGTTAGATGGACTACTGGTAAGCAAACCTACTGCAGTGTGAGTCCGTTGCTGCGATTATGTCGCCTCGTAGTAGTGGCAAGAGTGCGCGTGGCAAAGTCGTTAGAAAAGGGCGGAAAGTGCGTAGTGGCGGTACTACTCCGGTGGTGCCGCGACTAGGTGAACGAACGACAGCACCTACCCAAGAGCGGGAGCGAAGAAACGGAGAGACGATGAGAATGGACAAAAAGCCCGTCGCCGTAGTAGTTCCCGAGACAGGTCGATGCACCGCGACGCGCACGCGCCAGTCCCCAGATTCCAAGGCACTTGGCAGCGCCCTGATGCTACGATTTATGGATAAACCTCCAACGACCACTGCTGACGCTGATGCTGATGCCGCTACTGGAACGAATAATCGAGATGTAGACACACATCTTGATTATAACGATAATAATGACTCAGACGAAAAAAACTACCAAGTAGTTGAGGATAAAAAATTAAAATATCTCAGGACAATTAACAAATCCGAAGATACGTTCAATTACGATGATAAAAAAATATTCGACTCACCAATTTCTCTAGAGTCATTCAATTCATCCAGGTATTCAGCATCTGAAGCATCGTCGGTTTCTGTGAATGTTGACTGTCTGGAGAAATCAACATCAAACTGTTGTCCAATTACGAGCATTACGCATACGCCTCTCGAGACATTGAAGAACGCTTTAGAAGGTTATGACCATAGTCGTATTTATTTAGCTCATGTATCTTTTTTGGATTGGCGAGATCTGCCGGGTAAACGTGCTTGCAGTGAGAGAGTATGGGTGGTTGGTGCTGCCGATCACGGTGGTCGTCATCGAACGAGATTGCTAGTAGCTGGTCGTCACTGGAGGCCAAAGTGTTTGACTAATGTAAATATGGTTACTCAACCAGTTGTTTATGCAGGTGGTGGTAGTGGATCGTTAACAGTAGATCTCTTTTTATGGTGGTTTCACCGCGAATTCGCTACTACTGCCATCGCTATGCATCCTGATGGCGCTATTCTAGTGGCTGAGTCCGCTGATTATCTCCCGTCGGAGATAGAATGCGTCTCAGCTGATGGATTGGTCAGACTATTTATCGTTCCCAAAAACTACTTAGAGCCAAAGATTGTCGCCAATGAACTAAGGATCCGTCTGGCAGCAGGATTGCTTACTAGTATCAGAATAGATCTTAATAGTAACAGAAAAAATTTGACAGAACGCGTGTGTGGGTTTACACTGAAAGAAGCGTTTGCTGAAATGCATCGGGCGTGGCTTAACATACGATCGGAAACATTTGCCAGGTGTTGGAAGTATTTATATAAGCGGTCAGATGCAACACCACCTCCTTCAGGTCCATCATTATCCACGCAGCTTCATCGAGTTAGCGATTACACAGAAGATCGTCTGATGATTGCTGAGCTAAAGGGACTAGCCCTTGAAGCCGGTCTGGAGGTCGGAGATTCGGAACTCGAGCGGTGGATACTTGACGAAGAGAGTGAGTTTGCTAAACGGGTCAAGAAGAATGAACTCGATGAAGAGCAGACAGATAAAAAGGAAACTGTAGCCGCTGTACCAGCAAACGATGAGTACGATGACGAAGAACCAGTAGATAAAGACAAGTACGATAGAGTAGATGAAGAACCACCCACCTCTGAAGAAACTGTCCAGCTCCTATCCCGAGTTCTCTTGTGGATGGAAAGAGAACCACTCGACCCAGGTCTCTTACTTGCGGTTAGGTCGATGCGAGATACTGCCGCCGTAATGGTAAGCATGTATGTAGATGATGGACTATACTACCTTGACAAGTGCGCTCGTTGTAACCGTTTCTTGTGATCGATTTACCGGGCCCTCTTGTCTTATCTTGTCTTCCCTAGTTCTGTACGGCTCACCTTCCATCGCACTTGCCGTATAAATTGGGCTAATTTAGTACTCTGGCTCATTCAGGGGGTGCTAACATCTCACGATCATGTCAACGAAAGAGACTCTCGAAGCAACTGGGACTGGCGAAATCACCCATCGCTATTACCCCTCTTTCCTTCTTGTTTTCAGTAACTGCAAAACCTACCGGAACCCATGTTATACTCAAGAGCCTTGAAGTAGAGGGCGCAACCAAGCTTTCGTAAATTGATCCTTCACTCGGTTTTCTTGCGCGACCCTTATCCTGCAGTCTTTTCCAGCGTTGCTCATATTTCAGCGTAATCAAATACTCGACTAACTTTTATCTTTTTTAAATCAATCAAAAATTCTACTGGTTTTTAATTTTGAACATTTTATCTGTTTTAGGCGAGCAAAATGGGACTTGCCGGCACGCATCCAAGTGGTTTACCCTTCTTTTGCGGAAACGGTGACCACTTAACGCAACCACCGCCAGCACACATGGGGATCCCACCTTATGGAGCGTTGGACGCGGGGAAGGCGGCTGCGGCTGCCGGTGAGTACTGGCCAGCACCCCAACACGGTCCATCCTCACACCCTGCACACTGGAAACGACTTCTTGCAGCAGCAGCCTCCACAGGTCAGCCACGCTTCCAACCGCCCAATCGTTTTGTTTCATATTTTGTTTATTATTTTATTTATCCCACACTAAAACAACCACTGCTTTCATCAACACACATCATCATTCATTCATTCATTCACTCATTTTTTTTCGATAATACCGAAAATTTTTGTTTGTTTTAACGAAAGATTATTTTTGGGTGGTGGTGGCTGAGGTGGAGGTTGTGTGTCCTATTCGAGCCTTCCTTTCCTCTCCTAGATTAATGCGAGTTCGCGTGGTGTTTATCGGATAAAATAAACGATTTCTCAAGTAGACAAAATCTTTTGAACGTCAGGCAAGAAATACCCCTCAACTGTATTCAATGTAAATTCAACAACTATGATATCTCTTGATGTTCATCAGCTCGTCGAGAATGAAATCAAACGCTATGGAAATTTTGCTTTATTCTCCGCTTACCTGTCTCTTTTACTCCAGTAAAAGCTTTTAAGTGCTTGTAAATATTGATGTATTTTAACATTTTTTTTTTTATTTTTTTTTATTACGTCCTAATTGAAAGAATATTCCATATCGAGTCAAGTAGCGAGAACGTCGTCAAAAGGAAATATTTCATGAGATAAAATAAAAACCGAGGTTATAAGTTGATATTTGTTGTGTATGTATACGTGAATGTATACTAAATAAAAGAAGGAAACGAACGAGAAGCTAACAGAAGGGAGAATACTTGCAAACTGGCCTCAAGTATAAGAACAAGAGACTTCACCATTAGGCTAATCAGTCAGGCATGCAGTTTTTTTCCGGCGTCAGGTCAACGAGTTTCAATGCTTTATTTATACATATTCCTTTTTCATTCTTTTCCCTCTTGTTATCTCTCTGCTCTCTGCACTCCACTTTGCTGGAGTAGGGTAGTTTCATCTCATCTACGCTCCAAAGTATGTTCAGTTCTTAAGTAAATGTATTAATTATCCAAATAATCAGATCCCAGAAAATTATATTATTAAAGGTTCAGGTTAATACAGATCTATTATTTATTCTTGTGTTAATTTATTTTATCCAATTCAGCAACGTTTCGTTACGTATCGTAACTTCCTCAGGCTTCTAATAACAAACATACATCATATATTAAATGTAAATGTATAAAAAAACATAAACAAATAATTTCAAATAATTAAGTTATGAACATTTATGCTATATTTTACCCAAATCATTAAGCTTCGCAGATATCATTTCACGAAATTAATTTACGGATAGACACATCCACGAGAAATCGTTCAAAATGTGCTTGACTCTCTTTGATTGCACAAGATTTGGGTCACGAGAGTTTATATCTATAAAGAGGAACCTCTTCCACTCGGTATTTACAGATTGAAATCCTGACTGTAGTAAATCAAGATTGGAACAGTGATTACGCACGAAAATAATATGCGCTAGCGCCTTAATTTCAAGAGTAAAGAAATCAAGACGTAAATTTAGAAAATAGTAGAGATGAAAAAACGAGAGCAAAATGATCTAGCTTACTACTACAGCGATGTCATATCATATCATATAGTATATGTAGATAAGATTGATAACGTTTATGCAAGACTATGAACTCATACAAGCTGCGATGGAGTTCTTTGTCTTTCAAACAAGCGAACGTTTCTCCCCTTGTCAACCCTCTTTAGCCGACCATCATATACATATTCCCGACGTCAGAAATTCTCACAATATCTTTCCCTCTCGCTCCGGCTCTCATTTAGTTGTAAATGTCTCTTTCTCACGGAACTACGGCGTTAAAACTCACCTTTTCCATTATCCTTTCTCGGGTCTTTACATTTTCCCTTGGCCTTATTCTAATTCTACATTACCTCCCTTTGCTTTACCCCTTGAGTCGCTCGGAATACTTCTAATTAGCCAGCACTTTTCGATACCCGTTTATTTCCAACCACTAAAGTACCCGCATTGATTCCCTTAATTTCAGCATCCTTCTCTAGCTTTTCATCCCTATTGGCTTGCAATACTCCTTTCCACTTCACACACTACTATAAGAAACAAAAAACCTGAATCTAGGCATAATTGACATGTCGTAGAACGAGAGAGCCTGCGTTACAATTTTCCTCGGATCCTTTGTTACCTCCAACGATTTGATTTTATTTTCAGAATCCTTTAGCTTTAGCTTGCTCCTTTTCTTTGGATTGTGATTTTCCGTTTTCAGAGCTGTAGCTCGATCGTACGCGTACGTAAATGCAAAGAACAGGGCAGAGGAATCTGCAGAGACGGAAAATCGGGGAGTTGCCTCGTGGCACTCCTTGCACCGCACAATTACAGGGCAACTAGTTCCACTTGGCTAGTCCAGTTAAATAGCATACCGAATGCAAATAACGAGCAAGAGGCATTACACAGACACTTGAGCTCAAGGCGTATCTGAGCTTCGTTATAACAACACTAAAGTCCTCCAAGACTTGCTAAAACAAAGCTCTACTCCACATTGCACACTACACATTAGAACCGCCGCTAATTTACAACCATTGAAAATTGAAAATCAGTTATCGAACTATTGTTCGTGCTTGCTAATGACTAATTACTCTCATGATTACCATCAACTGGATTTTATTTTAACGATGATTTACAAGCTCTGCCTCTTGAAACAGGTTTTGAAGCTGTGCAAAAACGGCGCGTGTGCGTGTTGACTTACCAGAACTCAAGTCTAATTACTCAAGTATTTTTACGTGGGTTTTTTTTTTTTTTTTATCACTGATCTGTTCGTCATCCGTCCGCTGATCGTCTGTATTATCTTATCCGCTGTATCGTATATCAGAGTTAGGTGTAGCCAGTACACAAGTGCTATACAGCAGTAGCCGTTTTACACAGCAGGATTCATTATCACCCTTACTCTTGCAGGACCACGGGACGTCGGGTAGCCACGTGTCTGTAAGTTGTGTTCTCCGTCTAAAATGTACCGTCAACTAATGCAATTACCATGTATCAATGTACAAATACACTAGATAACATGAATACATGTATATGTCCGATATGATATGATGTGGTTATAATCTAACCCACTAGAGCTTATCTAGTTAATAGCTTGCTCGAAAAGTATCCGAGAATGCCGTGTGAAATAAAGGAGTTTGACACATTACGCAAATTCAAATTACGGAGCGTAAAACTCTCTCGCCTAGATTTTGCAGCGATTGTTGATTCATTTTATAACAATAAATAATGGATAATAAGTATAATATATACTATATAGTCCAAGTTTACTGTGACTCGGGCAGTGTCGTCGGGTTCCGCTCGATTGGATCGATAAAACGTAGAGTTAATGCAATTATCGCGTACGTATAGATATCCGCACAGCGATCGCGGTTAATTTTTTAAAATATAACAGCCTGGATATTTATGTACTCTAAGCAAAGGCTAATGGCATGTACATGATGATGGAGAAAAAGAGAGACGGATAAGAGTAGATGGGTGCGCCTGAGAAGGCTACGGTAAATTATCTACATCCACGTCCAGTGTACGGAGAGCAATAACTTGCTGATTAATGAGTTCCAAATAAAGTCTAAGGTGGTTAACGCACTAGTAATAGCCGGTGTTGTTACCTGTTCTTTTAATTCACACTTGGTGATCCTTATAATGACGATGATGATGATAATGATAATAACGATGAGCAATGCTTAGCTAAGTCAGTTGAGAAATATCTTGTGGTGAAAAGGCTTCTTGATCATTGATCCTAACGCTCGATTAGACTCGTCTAACTAGAGGTATGATTGAAGAAATTTTCCGGGATGGGGACCATTAATGCTACTGCTTCCTCTGGCTAAAGTTAACGACGGGATCTAATAAAACGCAAGTGGAAAAGGAGCCGGAGCCAGAGCAGGAGGATGGTTAAAACGGGCCAAAGGATCAAGGATCCAAGTTAGAGTACGGAATGAAACGGAAAATGGTTTAAAAGGTAAAAAACCTGACAAAGAGTAAACGATTGCTCGCCGGAATCTCGATCGTTCGATTCCTCGAGCTGCTCACGGGAATAAAAGAGTAATTTTCCGGGTGGTGAAACCTCGATAATGGGGCTCCAGACTGCCGAGTCGACTGGAAAGTGATTAAGCACACATGACAGAGTCTGGCGGACTTGCCAGGATATTACCAACGAATACAGCTACCCCTTCATCTCTCGTCTTGTTCATCGTTCTTCGTTCATCATCTGGTTCTCATCTACTCTCGTTCACTTACCAGCTTTTACTTTCCCGATTCCCCGGCTTGATTCAGTACTTTATTTCTATTCACACACTTGTCGCTAAATTTGAGTACTAATCCCTATTATTACAGTGGTAAATAATTGGCCAGATTGCGGAAAAACATGCATAGGCAACCCACACGTCGTCCGCCATCTGCATACAATATTCTGGGCAACGACACTCGTTAGCTCTTGACGAAGCCAATTTCGACAAAACTACTGCAAGCTCTCAATACTCTGAATTCTTTGACACAATACCCGCACCGATATCAATATGCAGACACGTCAAGCTTTGTCTAAACAGATATCATTTCAAAGTTACAATTTCTAATAGTAATGATGAAATCATTATTAGTCAAAAAAGCTGTATAAACATTAACCAAACGAATTTTTAGCGTTTACATTTGGTCATACGATTTCACAATATTTATTTATCAAATCGAGCGTTAACCCCTATATATCTACGAGCAAATAACAGTCACTCATCTTTTCATTTGATCCGACAAATTTTCTTTGATGTTCTCATAATATTTGCACTAAATTTTCCGTTGCACCAAATCGTTTTCTCTACCATATCTCCAAAAAAAAACTTGATTTCATCCACTTTTTTTAACCGGAGTCATAAGTCAATATTTTTCATTTAGCGTGTTAGTTTTTAATTTTTTATTTTATTTCCGCAGGTTTGACGAGGGCGCCGATGTATCCATTCTCGACGGGCCAGTATCCGTACCCTATGTTGAGTCCAGATATGACGCAAGTTGCATCGTGGTAAGTGTAATAATCAATAATCCGATGGCAATATTTATAATTTTTAACCTCCAAAGTTCATAATCTCTACACTTATAACCTTTTCAACCTTATCAGCTATATATACATCCGGAGAAAATTTTAAAATAAACAGTAACTAGCTCTGAAAATCAGGCAAAAGTGTCCCTAAGCAAAAACTGGTTGGTCATCTTGTCTGACCATCCTTTCAGTTCCAGTCTATTAGCTCGTGTACACCCTCTTGGCTAAATTCACTTATAAACCTTAGTCCCTCCTTGTTATTTGGTTTCTGCCTGAACCACCCCAAATTGAGATTTTCCACGGATGATTAGTCCTCTGTCCTCAATTACCGTTCCCTCCATTTTTCTTCTCCTGCTCCATCTATTCATAGTTAATAGTTTATAAATTGTCGATAACATATAAGTTACTCCCCTTTCTCTAGAAGTACAAAACGAGCAAAAAAAATAACAATAAACTAACTTTAATTAAAATATTTAATAGGCATACACCAAGCATGTATCCTATATCTCCAGCAAGCGCAGGGTTTAGGAGTCCGTATCCTACAAGTTTACCAATCACAAGTTCCAGCTTACCAAGGTATGTGATAATTTAATTAAACCTACTGTTTAGCGATATAATTAATTCCGCTGTGGTATTGTTTGCAGTGATCTTTATCGGTTTTCACCAACGGGCCTTATGCCTCCTCATCCAGGACTGAGTCCGCACGCACACGCACTAGCGTCTCACGCGTTAGTATCTTCAGCACCTAAAGCGGATCACTCTACCTTGGATCATAATCACAGGTAGCTTATAATTATCAATTATAATTATTATTTGCATTAACATTGTATCATTATAATAACGACAAACTATCCTTTCAACGCATTTAAACTCAGTATCCGTGACGGTAAATATTATATCGCACAGAACCGAACGTTACAATGGCTCCATCCCCGAAGAAAAGGTCAAGTGTGATATGAATATGATAAAAAAAGTGACCGATAATTCAAAACGGAATTATTAACCGTCGGTCCAGTCGATAAAGATATAGTCGCAAATGATAAGGAAGATAAAGTAGTTACAAAAGAGTGCCGCAGGGGGTAGCACGTCCTAAAGCAATAGCTTTCCTATCACAAAAGTTATCGAATAGTCGACTTGGTTGGTTCTCTTCTCTTGTCGCATTTCAACAGAGCGACTGCGCTGTTTCCGCGTATTGATCATTACCCTCTTAACAGATTTATAATTTGTATTAGTACTTAATCTACGTTATTGGTTTGTATTTATTCCCGAGGCACTTAAGACATCGCAACGTGTGCTCGTTGCCAGAGTTACCATTGTCTTTGGGTAGATACCTCACACATATATAGACTCCTCATGCTCAATACGGATCTGTATCTATAGATGCGACACAGACAGAGACAGATACAGAGACGTAGACATAGACTCATCGTATATATATATAATATGACATTTCCGTTGAAAATTACGAGTTTGCTATTATTATGATTGTCGAATCGGAAAGAGGGGTGGTCTCCCAAAGGCTCAAGGCCTTGTATTACAATGTAGTTGCATCTATCACTTCAAGTAGTAACGTTCGTCTCTTAATATCGTATTCACAATGTTTAAATATTAATCGGCGAATAAATATCGTAATTTCATTACTCCTGTTAATTAATTATTCATTTTCATCGTATTTGGTGCGACTAAGTCATTAACCTACGGTATATTTTCCCGACCTGGACGTACCGGTAGAGGACTAATTGCGTCTTACCATTATCTACTTGGTCTACAGACAACCCGGACTTGAGTGATTAGTACATCAAAGAGTGATTTGTTTATTTTAAAAATTAAGATTCAGTGAACAGGACGACATTTGCATGGTAGCTCGACGACAGTAGCGCCACAGCCCGCCAAAAAAATGCTATTTTCACCCCCAACGAGAATTATACATTGGATATATACAATATAGACTATAGGGCTGAGAGAGTCGTATAGCGAGAGATGTAGCTGTAGAGAGCCATGAATTGCAATGATGGGCCGTGCACCCGCACCGTCCACCCCCTAACCCCCCAACCCACGGATAATCAATCGTAACACCGCTGGGTTATTCGTGCTACGACGACTCACAAAAGACTTTACTTCACCATTAACATTTTAATCCGACACAAAAATAACTTATTAGTGTGAGAATAAATTTGGGTAGTTGAATTTACAATTGATTGTGTAACGCCATATATGATATATATTTGTCGGTAGATATTTATGGTGCTATATTGTATAAATATTTGGATATTTATGGCAGTCAAGTGCAGATTTGTCAGTAATGAGCTCGGATAGTAATAAGCAAATGTGATAGTTTTTGTTGATAATTATTTATTTATTTGGATTTGGCTAAAAAGATATATATGTATGTTTATAGACTTAGACATCTTTTATGATAATGATAATAATAATGATGATATATATATATTTTGTCGATATATTTTTGTGATATTGTGATATTTATTTAGTTAAAACGTAAGTTTTTTAACAAACAACAATTGCCAAATTTAGTCTGTGATTTATTTTAAACAGTATTTAAGTGGTCAATTAGTGATAAATATATGTATATATCTATATTATAGATAAATAGTGAATAAAATGGCAATGGAGTCAGAGTGTTTAGAGCCCCTAAATTTGGTAATAAAAAAAGATAACAATAGTAGTAGTAATAGCACTACCAGTAGCGAGTCAGTTTTAGAGCCGGACGATTTGTCATTATCAAGCACAACTACCACGGGTACTGTTACGGCAAATAAAAAGGAGGATATTGTTATTGACGGTGATGATAACAAAGTTGTAGATGATGCTAAAGTATTGATGCATTCAGATCCAGACAACATGGCGATTGAACAGTTGACGAACGGGAACAAAAAGATAACCGACAGTAATCTCGCGATAGCTGACCATAAATTATTGACGGCGTTGCATATGAGTAATCTGATGCAGCTTAATCTAGGGAATTTGAGAGAAACGACACCGGAATCGCAGGTTCAGGTTCCTCCGCCGTATGGAACTCAATATTATTTTATGCAACTCCTAGCGATGGTAGAAGCACAACAACTGATGTGCCAACAAATGAACTGGTCTTTGCCTCAACATTTGGTCAGAAGTCCCATGAGATTGCCTACCCAGGCCTATTTCGATAACCCCGCGGTTAATTTAGGCGAACAACTGACCTCTAATTCGTTGTACGCGGCTAATGTTAAGCATGAAAGTGACGTCAAAACGGCTAGCAAACGGTACGATTTTTTCTGAGTTCGAAGTTATGATTTTAAAAAGATTTTTCTATTATTCCAGGTCTTCAATGGATCAAAAAAACTCGTCGTCTTTGTCTTCGGATATCACAAAAGCTCAAGATACTGGCCAACAGAACAATCAAGGTTAGTTTCCTTTGTAATGATGCGCGCGCATCTCGTATGCCGCCATATTATTTTCATACGCGTCGCCATCTTGTTGAACAAAAACTTTCGATATTTTTCTTTGTTTTTCTTCATTTCACAGCTGAGTTAATAATTTTTTTTATCAATTATGAAATTAACTAGTAAAAAATGATCGATTTTGCTTACAGATAAGAAGAAACCCCACATAAAGAAGCCTTTAAACGCTTTTATGCTGTATATGAAAGAGATGAGAGCGAAAGTGGTGGCAGAGTGTACCTTAAAAGAGAGTGCTGCAATAAACCAAATTTTAGGAAGACGGGTAAGAAATTTAATTTATTAAAAAACAAATAATTGGTGATTAATTAAAACTTGATAATTTACAGTCGATAAAATGACTTTATTTTGTTTTTAAAAATTAGACTTTCAAATGATAAATAATTTTCTTGCATGACAAACGCTTTCGAAAAAAGAAAAGCTTTACTCAATTATTAACAAAAAAGCAGAGAAAACATTATTAGTACAAATAGAGCATTGTAGGTGGGATCTATGGAATATATTATAAATAAATCGTTTAAATCGCGAGGGCGTTGAGGGTGGGCGAGGGTGGTAATTAGGCAAGTAAGTTAGTACCTCGTATGAAGCTAGTGAGCACGGTGCACGCTAAAAAAAAATAAAGATAAAAATAAATAAGAAAAATCTGAGACTTTGAATGACTATTCGATTTGGGGCATATGACACGCAGTGGCATTCGCTAAGCCGTGAGGAGCAGGCGCGGTATTATGAGGCGGCCAGGCAGGAGCGCCATCTCCATCAGCAGCGCTACCCCGGCTGGAGTGCCAGGGATAACTACGGATACGGCAGCAAGAAGAAGAAGAGGAAGAAAGAACGCTCCGCAGATCCCACCGGAGGTACCACTTTCCAGTGCTAGAACAGCAGGCCCTTTATTAATTAATGATAATAATAATAATCATAATAAGAATAATAATAATAATTAACTATTATTTATAAATAGTAACCTCATTGGTATTTTATTGAAACGATCAAAGTCTCTGCGTTTCTTTTTTGTTATTTTTTTTTCTTTCTTATACATATATATTTACATATATGTATATATGTATGTATGTTTTTTTTTTTCGTTTTATTTTTTCCTATTCTCTTTGATCAGCGGATTATTTATATTGTTTTTATTGGATTGGATTGTCTGTGGGAATTGTGGAATGTGGCAGCATTTAATAATAATAATAATAACCATAATAATATTAATATTATTAATAATAATGATAATAATGTTGATTATTTAAAATGAATATAATAAACCCGCGAATGCAATAATTATCTCTGGCCAACTCCCTGAAGCGGTTTTGATTTTATGGTAAATTTTTTTAAGGACGTTCATGCGTGGGATCAATAGATTAAAATTTGAAAATTTTTGTGGTTTATAACTTACATTTATTATTTATTTTTTAAAGAATGGCTTCCCCCATGAAAAAAAAATATAAATAATATATATTTCGAAATATATAAAAATTTATATATAATAGATATATTTTTAATAACTAACTTTTGGCCGATTTTCATATATATTTTATATATTTTAAATATATTTTAGATATATTCAAGATATATTTTAAAATACATAAAACATACATAGCTAAAAATATAAAAAAAATATATTTTGAATATATATTTTATGTATTTGAAATATATAAAATATATATGAAAATCGGCCAAAAATTAGTAATTAAAAATATATTTATTATACATATTTTTTATATTTTTTTTTTCATGGGGGTTCATTCAAGTTTATTATACTGATAAAAAAATCAACTTTATTCAAGAGAAAAAGATCTTAAACCCAGAACATCATTCTGAAGAATTTGATTATTTTGAATAAAAAAAAAAAACTTTAAACTCAAAAATTGTTTTTGGATCAGTTAAATTTTACTTTATTCAAAAATTTTTCTGCTTGATTCAAGATAATCAAATTCTTTAAAACGATGTTGATATTTGGTTTTTTTTCCTTGAATCAAGTACATTTTTTTATCAGAGTAAATTCTTAGCAATTCTTGGACCAAAAATTAAAAATGGTTTTCTTCTTTAATAAGAATTTTTATAAAAAAATATTAAAAAAGATAAAACTTTAAATTTAAAACTCTTCAGCAGTAAATTTTAACGCATCCATTGGTTCTGTTCAAGTTTCCTAAATTCTTAGCAGTTCTTGTGCTAAAAATAAAAAATTGATATATTCTTTCTCAAGAATTTAAATGAGAATAAGTAAATTTGAACACAGGCAATGTAAAAAATAACTCAAATATTGTTCTAAGAATTGAATTGTCAAAACTTAAATAATTGGCTGGCCTCCACGTAAGAATGTCCTTAACTAAGAAAAAAGGGGTAATAACGGTAATTACTGTTTTATTTATAATTGTAATTGGAATTTGAAAATAACGGGCGGGGAGCATAGGCTGTTCTTCTAGCACTTGAAACGGAAAGTAGGACCCCCACCAATGTTATTGTCGAATGCTTTTTTAAATCCTTAGTTTGATTCTAATAATGAGTAATTGCTCGAGGGTGGCGGAGTAGATAGTACTTAAACCTAAAATAAACAAAATAAATAATTTAACATATTACAATACTTGATAATATAAATGAATAAAATAAAAAAATAAAAAGTGTTAATTTGAAAATCGTTAGCCGCATAAACAATAAGTGTAATTGATTCCAATTGGTTCTCTCGGTAGTGGCACGCGCTAGGGCGAGAGGAACAGGCCAAGTATTACGAATTGGCGCGACGTGAGAGACAGTTGCACATGCAGCTGTACCCTGACTGGTCTTCCCGCGCAAATACCAACCGAACTAAGAAGAGGAAGCGCAAACAAGACACAAACAGTGATCCTGGAGGTACCCACATACCTCACTCCACACATTCTTACAAAATAACCCACCACACCCACCACCCACCCCTTAATTTATTATTATTATTATTATTATTATTATTATTATTAATACATATACCATATATCATATATCATATCTTATCTATATTATCATATTATTATAATATTTTATTTAAATTATTATATTATATATAAATATACTATTGCTACACTACATATTGTTGCATGTTTTCCCCATTTCGGGGCTAAAGGTCAATTGTATCACACATACGTACATACATATATGTATTTTTATTATCATAGATACTCTTATTGTTATTATATTGTTATTACTTCAACCTAGCTTAATACTTTTTCATTTTTATCATCAAAAATCCTGTTTGTTTTGTTAGAATTCGATAGCAAAAATTTATAAGAAAATGGGCGCCAATTTCCGGGCGACAGAGAGACGTGATGACGCCCAAACTATTGGAGCGCCCATCAATCTGACCCAGCCTGTGGAGCTAATCTTTTGAATCACTGAAACCTAATTCAACAAATAGGACCATGATAAAAACGAAAAACTGAGCTAGATTGTGGGAAAAAACGATTTATCTGAGGAGCAATCTTAGCGAACATTAACATTATTAATTATTATTAATATTAATATTATTAATATCACAACAAACATACGTTGAGAAACAACAGAAAACGCTATAAAGATTCTTCAGTCTGTTGTTTGTCAACAAGAACATACATATATTAATAACGTACTTATTAAAAACACCGAACAACCACAACAACAAACTTTGGGGACGCTGGCCATCTTGCATTTACAGGGACCTAATTTATCCGCAATCAGACAATCCTAAAGCGTTTTTTATTTATCTATTTTTCACGTCTTTTTTATAATCCTGTTGAATTTTTTATATATCCTTTGATCGTTTCAATGTTTATACCCTTTTTTTACGTCCTTTTTTATTTATTATTTTAACAAAATTATTATTTGCATTTACCTTTAATTATTATTTACACCCGTTAAATATATCCCAGCTAAATTTTCGTTCACTGTTTACCTACGACGCTTTTATCCAATTATTATATCCACGCTTACTACCGCGAACAGAGTAGTTAAAAAATTCAAATTTATTATTTTTTCATTAAGTTTAAAATACATTGCATGCGCTTAATTTACTTTTTTGGGAATGCTTTCTGTTGCTACTGACCAATTGATTGGGCGCCAAATTGGCCTCTATCTTATCAGTAGTTAAGAAGGCAGCCTCAACAAGAGCTTTACAAATAGATATCAATATTTCCGTAGGGTCTTGGTAGTGCATGTCATTTCTTATTATAAATAATAATTATTTAAAATAACGTATGAACTTAAAAGCTCTGCTTTGTTCGACGAATTCACACCTACAGCGAACGAAAATTTATGTTGCTTCTTACCGATTACTTATTAGGCACTATTGTGATTACTTTGTACTAATATGTCTTTGATTTGTAGGTAATAATATGAAAAAATGTCGCGCGAGGTATGGATTAGATCAACAAAGTCAATGGTGCAAACCTTGCAGGTATGTTTTTCACCATTTTTTTATTACATTAATCGTTAGTTATTATATTATATGTTTAATCTAAGTTTATTGCAGTTAATTACGTTTAGGGTAATACAATTTTGTCGGTTATTCCATCTTAAATCCGACGTCATCCATAATAAAATAATATTAACGATTCTTCGTATTGTTACATTTAAAAATTTTGCTTTCTAAAAATCTAATTTATTTTAGTATAATATAACCGTCAGAAAATGTGTCTTCCAAGAAGAAATAACTTTAATAATTGCTTGTAAATACCTATTATACATAGTTTGTAGTTTTAATTTTCGTGTGAAAAATATAGTAGAGTATTAAACGCGAGGGGTTGGATAATTAAAAAAAAAAAGTCCTATACCTCTCACGCTTAAATATTTGCACTACTGCAATCGATTTTCACACGGAATAATTATTAGAACCAGCAACGGTAATTGTATTGTTTATTAAAATTAGTGCCCTAAAAACTCCGCATCTCCCAACTGGGTTTTAACGATGTCATTAAGCTCATTAAAGGGGTGAAGAAATAAATAGCCAAAATTTAATGACACTGAAGTTAGCAGACGTCTAAAAATTTTTGATTTTTTTTATTAATTAAATTACAACTAAAAAGATATTTATAAAAAATTGCACTTAGAGTTTTTCAAATTTTTTACATGTGAATTTTTTTTTTTTTAATTGTTTTATTGAAAATTTTTCAATAAAAAATTTCTAAAAATTTTGAAATGTCGGCTAAATTCATTTTTATATTGATTTGTTATAAAAATAAAAAAAAAATGACAGTTGTCAGCTAACTTCAGTATCCTAATAATAATAAATAAATTAACAATAATTAAAATTTTTACTTACAATAATACACTAGTACAAAATATATTATTAAAAATGAAATATTTATTTTTTTTTTTTTTATATTTTTATTAAAATATCTTTAAATATTTTTTAAAGACGCTCTCGGTGGATGCGAACGTCCTTTTGTGGTTAACAATGATATGGCGTTTTAGTGGCAAACTTATTTAATATATATATAAGGAGTAATAAGTGAAATAAAAATAAAAAAAAATATATGAATAATAAAAAAATAATAAAGTGCAATAATTGTATATAATACTCACACGTCAAAGATGATAACAAAATGATTCACAAAATAGCAATTCACGCCTCCTTTTATATTGCGCGTCTACGCTGGTAAAAAAATCTCGAACGTTTACTCAGCATCTTCGATACTCCTCACAGTTAAAGTAGAAAATTACTGTGCGTTAGTCAAAATATATTTATAAATACAATTATCCATTAAAAAATTATTTTAATTTATTAACGTCTAAAAATTTTTGATTTTTTTTATTAATTAAATTACAACTAAAAAGATATTTATAAAAAATTGCACTTAGAGTTTTTCAAATTTTTTACATGTGAATTTTTTTTTTTTTTAATTGTTTTATTGAAAATTTTTCAATAAAAAATTTCTAAAAATTTTGAAATGTCAGCTAACTTCATTTTCATAAAATTTAAAACAAAACTTTCTGCTGGGAGACATATTTTCTGATAATTTAAAAAAAAATGAATAATTAGAGATAGTAGATATTTTTGATGATTTTTTTTGGAATTGTGGGTGACTTTTCGGGACTTAAGGTGGGAACAATAAATAAATAATATTTTGCGAGCGCCCCTTTAATGGCTGGTGGTTGGTTTTGGCAGCCCAGTGGAGCATGGAGCGGGGATGGGCATCCACGCGAGCATAATCCATCACGGTGTGGGAAATAGCGCGGGGACAGGGGTCGGGGCTGGAGGTGGTGGTAATGTTGGGTCAGCAAGTGCCCCAACAAACACAAACACTGCCTCCAATGCCTCCTCGCCTCAGCAAGAACCCACTTATGTTAATCTCTAGTCAAGCCTATCGCCTCCCTACTACTGCAACACTTCTTCTTAAACAGTGGTCAGTCCCGACTTAAACCAACGGACTTGTTTTCTCTTAATGCCGTTTTTATAATTAAAAAATTTATTATTAATCATTCGCTAAAATAGTTACCAAATTCGGCCATTTCGTTTAAACTGGCATTAAGTGACGATCCAAGTTCCGATGCTCGCATTGTTTCTCATTGTTGTGGCTCTTTACAGCTTATTGTTGTTATTTATTATTATTATTGTCATTATTATTATTATTATTATTACTATTTTTATTATTATTATTATTATTATTATTATTATTATTATCTTTATTTGTCCTCGTTTAGTTGAAGATTTTATTTTTTCACTCAGTGTCGCCCTCAGCATGGCTAATCTGTTATATGTATCACATTTTTTAAAATATATATATTTATATGTATGACAGATTTTATCGGTTTAATCAAACAGTTTGATAGATTTTATATTTATTATTATTTAATTTTGGCATGGCAATTATTATTACTATATAATATATACAATTTATGTGTATCAATATTTATTCGATCTGTGCTTTGGAAGTTCACTTTTAAATGGCTAGATGCTGATGCAGCTAATTTCCAATCCAGCTTTTCGGCGAACATAATACGACACTTTTCACTCACTATTCTCAAAAACTGAACTTTCAAGTCGTGTATTGCGTTAAATATTGTTTGCAAACTCAAAAACTAAAAAACCTACACAAATATTTTGAATGAAAATTAAGTTAGCCGACATTTAAAAACTTTTTATTGAGAAAAATGACTACAAAAAAAAAAGAAAAAAAATTTTCATTTGTAAAAAACTATTAAAATGAAGTTAACCGACATTTCAAAATTTTTATGAAAATAAATGTAGCACATATTTGATAATTTTAAAAATTTTATAAAAAATAAATTATGGCCAAAAAAATAAAAAAAAAAAATTGACATTTAAAAATTTTAAAAAATATAAAATGCAATTTTTTTAAAATAATTTTTTGGAAAAAATCTTTTTGTTAAATAAAATTAAAAAATTGTCTAGTGATAGCTAACTTTAATGTTATAAATTTTTTATTGAAAAAATTTCAATTAAAAAATAAAAAAAAAAATTTCACATGTAAAAAACTTGAAAAACTACAAGTCCAATTTTTTAGTTATAATTTGATTAATAAAAAATTTTTAGGAGTCTGCTAACTTCAATGTCATAAAAAACTTTAAAAACTATAAGTGCAATTTTTAAAAAATATTTTTTAGCTCTAATTTAATTATTTAAAAAAAATTAAAAACGTCGGCTAACTTTAGTATCATATATTTTGAATCTGTGCTTTGGAAGTTCACTTTTAAAATTTATATCTTCAGTTTTTTTGGACTTATACTCAATTAATAATTTGAAATTTGTAATTATCGCGAAAAAGTTTCAGAAAATTGAACTTTCAAATCACGTATTACAGAAAACATGCAAAAGTTCCAAGTAATTTTTTTTGGTTACAAAAAGATCCGATAGAGGGTGGCAAAGAAGAATATGAGTTCAGCGCCATCTATCGAGTCCTTCTGTAACTACTTTTTGGAACTTTTGTATAACTAGCTGGGTATTTAGTGGCTATTGTTAATGCCATTGTTTTTCGAGCGCGTTAACTTAAAAAAATTTTAAAAATATTTACTAAAATATAAAATAATACTAAAATTAAATGCTCTGTAAATGAAAACTAAGAGATGAATAATGAGAGCCAATGGCAGAGCGGTAATGTCTCGACTGTAGAACTGAATAAAATTTGTGGGTTGATAACCTCAACATAAATCCAGTCCAGTCCATTCCTTAGCAACAAAATACGTTTATTAATTTTTGAAATGGATTTTTGGTGTTTATTTTATTTTGTTTAAATGTTACATGCTTGCAAAATATTTTTAAATAATTAATTTATAATTTTATTTAATTGATTTTATTGAGCATGGCATTGCAGCGAGTGGACACAATAATATTTTTAATTATCTTATCGTATATCAACGCATGATATTATTTTTAGTTAGTTGTGAGGTGGTAAAAAAATTAAAATAAATTTGTTTTTAATTTAATTTTAATGTTAACAAAAAACAAATCACTTTGAAATTCTAACAATTTTATTTGCTTCCAGGCGTAAGAAGAAATGTATCAGATACATGGGTGAGGGAGGAGATGGTGACGTTGAAGGTGACGGCGACGGTGAAGATGATCACTCGGAAGACAACTTAGGGAGCGTCGGAGAAGCGGGGACTCCGGAAGATGACGAGTCGCTGAGTAGTCCTGGTGGATTATCGGCGTTATCAAGTTTGGCGAGTCCTTCGTTGGTGCTGCCATCACCAGCGAGCTTGGCAAGTCCGTGTCCGTGTCCACTGACGCCTCCAGTGGCGCCCCAGTCGTCGATATCGATGAATCAAAACCCAGTGCCAATTCCGCACCGCAATCCAGTGGGAACTAACCCACATGATATAAACAATCCGCTCAGCGTTAATCAATTAACTGGTCAGTGTATAAAGAGTGAAGTTAATCAGGCGCCCTCGGGTCCTTCTAATCCGGCGATCAGTGTTACGTAGCCCTGGATGGCCCCATGTGACAAGACTCTTCTACGATTCGGTGTCATCGGGGTTTATATTTTTAAATTTACTCGAAATGTAATGATAAAGATTAATCTTGTTCTCTACTTGTCTCAGTACTGAGCTTTTCTTCTTTTAATTTCTGCCCTGAAACTCAATTTAAAAAAATATTTTTTATCCGAATTCCTTCACGGAAAAAACAAGATTATACTCGATATAATCCAAAATTATAATGAGTGAAAAAAAATTTCAGATAGTAGCTAATATAATCCAGATTACAATGAGTATAATCCAGATATCACGGAGTATAATCCGGATTACAATGAGTATAATCCAGATATCACGCAGTATAATTTGAATTTTTCTAGCTGCTATCTGAAATTTTTTTCACCATAGATATCACTGAGTATAATTTGGGATGATATCCAGTGTCATCTTGTTCTTTTCGTGTTGAATTAAAAATTTTTTGTTTTCCAACAATTAATTTTTAATTTTAAATTTTTATTTTGTTCATTTAAAAAAAATGAAATTTTAGTTTTAGTAAATTTTTTTTTTTACGTTATGAAAATTTTTTTAAGTGCAAAGCTTGATATTGAAACAAGTAGATCACAAAATAATAATAAAAAAAATTATAAATAATTTTACTGTCCGGAATTGATAAAAATTCCGGAAAGAAAAATGAACGTACCAGTTAATTATATAAATATAGATATATAATTAATAAGTAAAATAATACAGATTAAGTTAGATAATAAAAACTGTAAAAAAAAAAAAATACTCAGGACCAAGTGTCTAGCTGTATAATCCACCTCTCGACGCCTCGTGCAATTAATATTTAAAAAATGACAGTGACTGATTTTATTAAAGACAACTGGAGGTTGATTCTTACAGCTTGTAGTCCTTGTTATGTTGTGATGCCAATGACTGATTGAGGTCATGTTCCTGTGCCAGGTACTATATTCTATTGAATTTATAAATTGAATTTAAAATTATGATTATTAGAGATAATTATTATTAATAATAATAATATTATTAATATTGTAATTAATAATAATTTTTATTTAATATAACATAAGTTAAGAATTATTTTAAGTTAATTAAGATTAAGGAATACACGTGTCAAAATACCTTTTTCTGTATGTAATTTGTTATTTTTTTAAAAGTCTATACAGCGATTTTTAATTAGCTCGTAAGACAATTATTAATTTTTTATTTTATCACGTCGTTTATTTTTTTTTTTAAGTACCGAGTCCTTTGCCTACAAAAGAAAATGAAGATGATAATGAGTAAAGAAGAAAACAATTGTAATAAGGCTTTTTATACTGACTATTTGATCTCCAGTTTTAAATAATTTTTAATTATAAATTCTAAGTGCATTTTGTTTGGAAGTTTTGATGAAATTTATAAATTTTATTAATTCATTGTAATCGGAAGAAATGACTGTTATAGTTTAACCGTTACTGAATTATGTTTGCAAAAAAAAAAATTATGATTTTGTGTAATAGATTGTTATTTTTTTTAATTTTAGTTCATGAAAAATGATGATAATAAAAAAAAGAATTGGATATGAAATTGTAAATGGTTTTATTTGTTGAATATTGGCGACTGGTTTTCGCGATTTGCTTCGTGCAATTATTATTAATTAATAATTTTTTAGACTTTTATTAATTAACTTGTGTCAAAATAACCTATTTTTCTGGTTATCTTCCAAATTTTTACTACAGTAGTATATTTTAACCCTACAAATTTTAATTTAGTCTGTGATTTAATTTTTCATGATAAAAAAAAACAAAAATTTAATCAAACAATGATTTTAAATCATAAGAAATTGATATTTTGTAATTTTGTTCCGCCATAACCTTTTTATCTTACGTAAATGACTAAACAATCGAATTAACCTTAAAATTAGTGAGAAAAATTTTGGTTATTTTGACTTTAGTGGAAATAATTTTAAATATTCCCTCCATTTCCTCATAAAATTTTTTGTAATAATACTTGAAGAAAACAACCAATTTTTCCCAGCTAAATAATCTAAAAACGAACAAAAAAAATTGCATTAAAGAGCAATTAACCAAACAACCAAAAAGACAATAGAATAAAACCGATTACATAAAGAAGAATATAAAACAGGCAATGTAAATAAAAATACGTTTAAGATGCATTTATTGATGATGGGGAAAGTGCAATGGGGAATTTTATTAAAACAATTGTATACGGTAAAATACAAAAACTAATCAGATGACTGATAACCTAAAAATGTGTCACAATAAACCGAAAATCTAATAATATAAACGTGCCATAACATCATGCCAATATTACTGATAATAATTAAACTAAACAATTAAATTTGTTTTTTAAAAAACAAATATCTTTGTCTGTCAGACTTAGCATTTATCAAAAAACTGAGGTGTGTATTTTATTTTTTTATAATTATAATTGTAATCATTAATTGTAACGCCAATATTTTTAAATGTTTATACTTGACAATTGATGTAATAGAGGCCAAAATACTAGATAATAAATTGTTTTAAATTTATTTCTTCTTAACCGTAAAACAAATTTATTAATGCACACTCCGGTGGGCATCAGTATGAATTTTTTAATATAAAATAAAATAATTATTCAAAGTACTGACAGACGCGAAGAAATAATGATAAATAATAACAAAGAAGACTATTATGAAACAAACTAAATGTACTGATGTGTGTATGGATGCCCGCTAAAACTCTGTGATGCCAGTGACATTAGGCCGGAATTAAATTCCTCATAAATAATAAAACTTTAATTAATATAATAATAATTAATAACAATAATAATAATAATAATAATAATTAATATGAGTACTGACACGATAATTAACCGCGGCCGTCACTTTAACAATTTAAACAATATAATAAGTGAGGTTAGAACGTAATCTATTGGTTGCGTTTTTATCCCGAACAAAATGGCCTAGTGTAGTTCCAAGCGGAGGAAAATGAAACTAAAAGTAAAATAAAAAAATGATATATTGTAAAACACGAGCCGTGTTATAATTTAGTGCCTCGAAACCCGAGACGGACATGAATGATGATAGTGTCTGGCTGGGTGTTTAGAGAGCGCTTTGTATTATATTGTAAAGTATATGATGTAATGAGACAGTTATACTGCGTTGTACAGTGTTTTTTAAGTATCTAGTTTATAGTGTGTAATTGAGAAACTAAGAAGACAACTGCTAAAAGAATAATAAATAAAATAATAAAAATAAAACTATTAAAAACACACATTGTATTTACAATTAAATAAGTGATCTGTATCAAAAACACTAAATGAAGATAAATTCATTCTCATATAGCCTGTAATCCTACTTATGTAGATGCTAAAAAAGTGATTTGTGTCATAAATCTATTAATAAAATTAGAAATTTCAGATTATTGTACATTTTTAAAACGATTACTTTATTATTTTTATTAATTCATTCATTTTTTCATTTTATTTCTTTTTCTTCTTTAAAAGAATCCATAGTGTAGAATTTTGTTATAATTTTACAAGCCAAAAATATTTCTTTTGCTGTTAAAAATTTATATTTAGGATATTAGGATAAAAAACTAATAAAAAAATACCATAATTTTATTAAAATATTTTTTTATTGTCCAAAAAAAAAAAAAGAGATAATTACAATAATGACTTGTCCCCCGACAATTAAAATTATTGTTCCAATTACTTCGAAAAGAATGAAATGCTCTTTATATTCACAGCATTAATGGTATAAACACAAGGAACTCTATAATTACAATTACCAACGAAAATGCTCGCCAACCTCATTATACTCTCACACTTGGCTACACAAGCGCCACCTCCCCCAACTTGGTCCTTCCTTTCGCCATTATCATTATCATCCACGTCATCAAGATAATAAGACCTGCCGAATTTGTCACACTCACTTGGATCGAACATGTAGAATTTACCATAATGCTGCATAACTGCAACTGCTAAATTGCTGGTATGAAGGATACCAGCGCAGTGGTTTCTGAAGAAAACTCCAAGTGCTTGAGCCAAGTCATGCACCACTAGAATTCCCGCCGTCTCGTTGCTGCTAACACTGATGCTTACTCTAAAATCTCCTATAACGAAGCTATCTAACAATTCTTTAGCCAAAAGATTCCTCTTTTCACATTCAGCATTTCTGATCCTTGTAGAATCTCGGTGCAGAACATCACCATACCTGACAATCGCATCAACAAGTTCTGACGTCCAAGTGCTCGGAACATGAAGAACTGCCACTGCGTTTGCAACTGCAGCAATCGCAGTACTCTGGCGCCCTCTGTATTTCAAGTCAAACGCAGAACTGTTCATATGAATGCTTCCTTTCAAGACACTCAGATCTTTATCTACAAAGAAAAATTCACTGGCAACTTTAACATCAACAGTCTGCTTTGTTCCTTCCTCTACGAACGCTTGGAATCCCACCGGACCGGGAAGACTTTCAACAATCAACGTATTGACAATCACTCGAAAGATTTCAAAGCTTCCAAACTTGTCTTCTTCATCAATATTCTCCAGAATAACATCGTAGAAAGGTTCCAAGCACGCAAACCACATCACGCAAGCAAACCCTTCTTCGGAAGGCCCAGAAATCTTCAAGCCCTGTTTGCTTCTGGGTCTAGGGTCCCAGAGAAAGTAGACACCATGTTCCATCCACATGGAAACCATGTAGCTGCCTATAACGAGGATTCCTGCACTGTTTTCTTCCCAAAACTGTTGGACCCCTTCTTGTAGCAACGGAGGCACTGCTTGAGGTGGCAACTCTCGGGTTTTCTTCTTTCCTCTAGCAGACTTCGGCTTCTTGGTCTTTTTCCCTTTTACTTCAGGCTCAGGAGGTTTGACCGCCACCAATCCTGCAACTGCAACTTCTACATCAGCCGTCAAAGCGTTGACACCAATGTGAAACACTCTGACAACGTCTCCAGGCTTCACTTTGTCCTTGGTTGCCTTCAGTGATTCTCGATGGAGCTTGTTTCCTATAACCAAGATTTCATCGAGAGTCTTCTTGGTCCAGGTCAGGGAGTTCTTTACAACGGCCATTGCAAGCGCTACCACGCAATTGGAAGCAGTTTGGCGGTTCCGAAGTGATGGAGGAAAGATATCGGAAGATTGGTCGATTCCTGCTTGAAGAATAGCTCTCGCTGGAGGGAGTTCCCGGTATGCATTCAGAGCTGGAAGATTAGAAGGACGTACCACTGAACTAGGGTCATGTTTCCAAGGCGGAAATTTGTTCCAATCAACCACATCTATCGCGTGGATTTCGTAGTCTTCCTCTGCGTCAACCAATCTAGAGAAGTAAGCAGCCAACTGTTCGGTTGTCTTGAATCTCAAGACCTTCACTTGATCGCCAGAGTCACCTGGGAACTTCGAACTTGGTAGAACAGCGAAGAAATCTTTAGACTTCCAGATTCCGACGTTGACGTCTCCAAGCGTTAAAGCTCCGGAACTGAAGTTTTGGAAGAACCTTTCCAAGCCTTCCTTCAAAGTCAACAAGTTGGAAGAGACTTTTCCAGATTCAACACAGTCGCGTATCGTCAAATCTAGTCGTCGGTTGGACAAGAAGAATTCGGGAATCACTTGATTTACTCTAGGGTTGACAACATTACCAAGACACTCTACTGTTTTGGTGTGAAGCTTATCAGCAGTCACTACCACTTCGTCGATGATTTCTTTGTTCCATTGCTTTGGCTCGTAGACTTTCGAAAATATCACTGCCATTGCAGCCAGAGCTGCTGTTTGGTTTCCGTGGTTTCCTGGAAGAAACTTTTCGTCGTTTAGAGACACACTCCCTAAAAGCTGCCAAACACCTTGAGAAACCTTGGGGAAGTTGTACCAAAGCTCCTCATCAGACGTCGCCGGCTTAGGACGTTCATTTTCAGCGACCCGTGTTTCATACTCGCTTTCTAGATTCACAGAATCCAGAACAATATTCCCAGCTTGGTCAAACATCGGCTGAATGTTTGCTACCAGGGCTGCGATGTTAGTGAACCAGAAGACTGTGGGATTTTCTTTAGTTTCTTGATCCAAACGTGGGTTGAACGTGAAGAAAACGTCACCCTCTTTCCAAATCGGCACCATAACTCCATCTTGCCGAAGAATCCCCGCAGTGTTTCTGGCTAAGAACCCCTGGAGCATGGTAACCAAGTTCTCCAAGGTCCCAGTAGCGTTTTCTTCCGCTTCGACACTAATTCTATTGACACCAATATCAAATTCTTCAATTTCACTGGGTAGGAGGTAAACTCTTTCCTCCTCTGGCAAGTTTTCAACGTTTTTCTCTGCAACCTTGACTCCTAACTTGACAATATCATCAACGACTTCCCTGGTCCATAAGAAAGGACTGTACAGCTTGGTCATTCCTAATGTCACCAAAGCAACAGCAGCTTGGGATTTGTCATCCAGGTCAACAGATCCGTATAAACAAGCACTGTCTTCGTCAAGTTCCACGAAATCACCCAAAGAAGGCTTCGTAGGCTTCTGCTTGTCTGCTTCTATTTCTTCGGGAGTCATAGTCTCACTTATCTCCCCAACTTGGAATGAGTGGATGAAAAACTCTCCAGAGCCTTCTGCATTTGCATGAATTCTCCGAGCTATTTCTTCAGGGTCAACTGCACGAATCACACAAGCAGCTTCTTCTTCCTCAGAATTCTTTTCTCCAAGTGGTCCACGAGGATTTGCATCAAAACAATAGTAAGTCGTTTCCGTTCCAGCTTCCTTGCCCTTTGTCTTCGGAAGAACTTGATCGTGCTTCCATATTGCGACCACTAGATCCCCGAATTCTACTATACCGTACTGGTGCTCAGTGAAGAACTTGGTGATTCCCTCTGCTAAGGCAGAAAATTCAGAATTACCAACTACCACTGCTTCACCAATATCAAACTTGACTCTCCTACTGTTGACATAGACCTTGCGTTTCAAGTTTCTCAAAGTAATTTCTTGTTCTTCCTCTTCTTCTTGAGGAACACACCACTTGAAAAACGCGTCGCCATCTCTCACCACCTGATCAACAACTGCCTTAGTCCAGTCCTGAGGCGCCACCTCTTGAGCAGTAACCAAAGCTACTACTGGAATCGCGATTCCTTGCATACCAGCGCTTTCAAAATCCTCGTCTGCATTAGAAATAGTTCCCTGTAGAACCCAAGTCTTTCCAGCTTCCCCAGGCTCAAACTCCCTCCATTTTCTCGTCCCAGGAACATCATCAGCAACACTTACGCTGTTTATGATAAACCGATCATTTTTATTTTCTACTTTGTCGATAAAATTATAAGCTAATGATTCAACTGTAGGGAATCTTATAACACAGCATTTGCCACTTTTTTTTTTAACCTCCGTATCTTTCTTCTGCTTACGCTTGGGCTCTTCTCTAACTCGGTCGCCATTTGCATCACACTGCCGAGGATCAAAGGAATAATAGCAGCCATTTTGCGTCCAAACTGCTATGGCCATTGAGGAACACTGCACAACGCCATCTGTGTTTACCAGGAAGAACTCCAGCAACGCTTGCTTCAAATTTAAGACATCAGGAACCTTGGACGCCAGAGTACCGGTGACAGTAATCAAATCCACATCGACAAAATGGCTTTTTCCATCGATTTGGATCTTTCGATCGTTAAAGTCAATTGTACGCTTCGCAGAATTCAAACTCTTAACCTCCAAGTACAGGGCGTCACCTAGTGATAGAATTTCGTCGAGCTTAGGACGTAGCCATGTTCTTACCGGACTTATCTTCTTGATCGCTAAAGCAGAAATACAATTGGCGACATTTTGCGCACCTTTTCCTTTGTATACATCCGCAGATTCATGTGTCCATCCGTGCAGAATGGCTCGATCTTGCGATAACTCACGAAATGTAGACGGAACATTAACCTCAATGTCATAGTAATCATAGCCCGTATCAAAGTTATTCTGATCAATCAACGGATCTTGGGCAAAAGTCGTCTCGATATTGTAATTCGATATCGTTATTGCCAATGGCTCTTTATTAACGACATCTTTTTTTTTTACCTTAAATTTCTTTTCCCCTTTTGTATTTGTAGAACGGACATTTTTATTAATCGTTAATAGACCTCTATCGTCGGGCAATGAACGATTTATCAGATTAATCTTAACTACTGTAATTTTATCCACAGAATAACGTGAGTCGTTGTCATTTAGATTCGTTAAAAACAATTCAACGAGGTCATTAATGTCCTTTGAAATTATTAAGCACGCTTCTTTTTGCCGGCCAGTTTCATCACAAGATGTCGGACTGAAGTACCAGAACTTCCCCTCTACAGTGTGCCGCCATATTGCGACCGCTGCACCAGAACTGGTCAGAACTCCCGCTTCGTGATCTTGAAGAAACTTTTTGATCCCATCTCCAATCAGAGGACACCCGGCAGACTCGGTGAATAAGTTGCCACACACTTTGTTCGGCTCGCAAAGAATATTGCACTTGTAGTCGTCAATAAAAAACTCCGGGTACACCATCTGTGTCGTCATCAAGGTATCTTTCACCTTGTTACGCCATTGGCTCAGGCGGAAAAGTTTGTCACCATTTTCCAGCACTTTGTTCACATGATCCATGGTCCAGTTTTTGGGGTTAACTAGGCGGCTAAAAACAATGGCGACGACACAACACGCAGTTCCTTGCTGTCCACGGCTTACAAATTTGAATCGCTTGTCAAAAATTGAATAATTACCGCGCAATATCGCCATTTTTGGAGAAATAACTTGGAAATTGTTCCACTTGTGCGGATATTTCTTCTTTGGTGTGAAATTTTGTTTTTCTTCTAAAATTTTAGACTCCATAGCACTTGAAATTTATCAGGAAAATTTTTTTAGGGAAGACAAGAGGTTAGGTAACAAAAAAACAACGAAAAATTGTCATTAATTATTTATTATAGCTTTGTAGATAAACCATAAAATAATATTTACATAAATAACAAGTTTAAGAAGATGATGAAAAATATTTATATAAAACAATTTTTTTTATGATATAATTAAATAATATTGTTTTGTAATTTTAACTAAGCTCATTTCATCTAACTATTTTTAATTTATTTACAGTATTAACTAATTATAATTATGTATTTACTAATTATTCTAGTCTAAACAGATCATTATAACAAGTTTAGCAAAAAATATCTACACGTAAAAATATAATTCGTATATTTTTATACATATATATGTTTATAGTATATATTTATATTTATTTTTTATTTTTTATTTATTATGTATATATTCATATTCACACACTAACAAGTGTGCGTATAAACAATATCATTGTTTTCAGGTTATGAACATCAATGAAGCCGTTAGCTTCAATAAAACATTTTTTAAAAATGTGTGATTATGATTAAAGCTGACAATTAGTTTTTCACACATTTTTCTAAAAACAAAAACAATGACGTAGTGTATAAATACATTAAAATTTAATATTGTTCAAACGTATCTTCATTTTAACGTGATTTATATAATTTTTAGTTTGAAATCAGCGTACATAACAGTCTCATTGATACAATTAATTCCACAGTAATTATTTATTATTTTGACTATTCTATTATTCACTATACAGTAAATTTATTATTATTAAAAAACAAATTGTGACAAGCAGTTTTCATTTCTTCATTTTGGCTATAGTGGATTGTATTGCTGTTATGAAAAATATATACTAGTCTATTTCTTATATATATGTATGTATATTTTTTTTTTAATACAGCATATTTTTATATTTCCATAAGTAAATGTACACATAAATTGTGCTAATTACGGCAGATTTTTTTTTTTGTTAATTGTAACTTTTTTTCACAGTCGGCATTTTTATTTGAACAATGCACAATTTTTTCTAACCTTCAAATTTTTTAGAACAAACTTTTCAAACTAAAATACTATTCCGATGGTTTTTTGACACCAACATTTTCAAAAAATTATTTTAAATCAAATTTTTAAACATTTTTAAACAGTAGTCATTGTTTGCATTTATGTCGGAAAACCTACAGAATTTACATAACCTATTAATATCATTAAAAATATGAAAAAAAAATTATTTCAGAACAAAGTTTTTTAGCTTAACATTTCAACTAAAAATAATATCATTAAATATCATCAGAAATATGGATTGAAGGTTAAAAAAATAGAGACTGCAGATCATTTTGTTTTTTTTATAAATTCGACAAAAATATTAATAAGCATTAACAGTAAAGGAAGATTAGAATTTTCATTTAATTTAAAACTTATTAATTAATGCCTTGTCATGTTTTGCATCAATTAAAATTTATTAATTAATAAATATTAAATATTTTCAAGAGAACTCTCTATTTTAATAAAAAAAAAAAAAAAAAAAAAAATCTAATATTTAATGCTAATTTGAAAACTGATTCTACTTTGAGCTCTCCAATTGTTTGTGTCATTGGTCCCACAAAAAATTCCACGATCTAAATAAAGATTTCTAATTAGGATAGGTTCAGTTCTTTAAACCCCGATCACCAATTATTATCATAGTCATTGAAAAAAGAATTTTAAATGACCGAGGAACATCTGTGAGGGTCTAGAGGAGTGTGGAACAAATTTTTAATTTTACTTTAAGCAGACTTATCGAGAATTAAAACTGTACGATTATGTTTTGTGTTAAGTGTAAATTTTATAAAACAAGTATAACTTTACACGATGTATAAACAGAAAAAATTTATCAAACAATTAAAGTGATAGTAGAGTTCCTGGAAAATTACCATAATATAACGATAAACTTTATATATTTATGCTTTAAAATTATTATCATTCGTTTATTTATTTATGTTTATAGTTTATAATTTTAACTATCATATTACAAAACCACAAGCACTCATACGAGATTTGTCCGTCGATTTTCTTAACCGGCACTTTCCTACTTAATGTAAACCAAAATGATATTGGTAATTTTAATAATAATAATAATAATAATAATATTAATGATAATAATAGTAATAATAATAATAATTATAATTATATACATTAAAAAATGTTACCCCATTTTTAAACGTAAGTAGCTTCGTAATTATTTAATTTACGAGTATTAACTATCACGGTTGGGATGCTTGGCAAGAAACCTTCTTGGCCAGGGCAATGGCCAATCGTATTGTCTGGGTACTGTTCCACCAACATTCTTTTCGAAATATCTGAACAATCGGAACCACCATAATCGCGCCAAGAAATTATTTGGTCCGAATTGCTGGAATAAAAAATATTTTTTATTATTTAATTATTAAGAGAAGAAAACTTGATTGAAGAAAATCATTTTAAAGAATTGATTTTTTTTATATCAAGTACACGGAAAAAACAAGATGACTGGATATCATCCCAGATTATACTGAGTGAAAAAAAATTTCAGATAGTAGCTAGTATAATCCAGATTACAATGAGTATAATCCAGATATCACTGAGTATAATCTGGGATGATATCCAGTGTCATATTGTTCTTTCCGTTTAGGAAAAAAATTCTTCTTGATTTCAGTCAATTTTAATTAGTTCAAGAATTTTTAAAATGAACCAAATTTTATTGAAAAAAAATTATAATTGTTCTTCTTAAAAATTTTGTAAAAAAAGAATATCATTTTTAAATGATATTAGAATTTTTTTTAATAATCACATTTTTTTTTATGAAGAAAAAAAAGTAGGATAATTAAAAAATAAAAATTTGTATAAAAAAAAATTGAAATTTTTAAAATTGTTTTTTTTACACAAAGAACAAAAAAAAATTTTTTAATTGCTAGACTTATGTGGATAAATTTTATCAAAGATTAAAAACTTTAAAATAAATAGAAAAATTTATTGATACAAATTTTTAGGATTATTATCATAAATTTGCTATGAAATGAAATAATTAAATAAAATATTTTAAACTAGAAATTTAAAAAAAAAAAACTTGAAACTGAAAAATTACCAAAAAAATAAATAAATACCTTTAATTGAGCGTTATTAGCTAATGTGTGATAAATATACCACAAGCGTGTTGTAACCCAATATGCAATAATAACGTCAACGGTGTAATGACAGTGGGCAATTAAAACCATAGCAACACCAACGAATGCCATTATTCCAGCAATCCAGTGTAATGGTTGGAATTTTTTTGGTGAGTCTAAAAATGAGAATTATTGAATTAACCCGTAGTGGTCACACTTCTTAAAAATAACGTAGTGGTCATACTGGGTCTAGTTGACCCCATGCACGGAGAAAATTGTTGCTACTTGCGTTCTTTTTAATATTTTCACTCGAGCCGTACATATAAGAATAATTCTTAACACTTCCGTTGAATAACTCAATCATTTTTTAATTTTTTTTAATTGTTTAACTATAAAAAAAAATGCGAGAGTCAAATTTCGAAAAATTTGACTTCTCGTACTAAAAACTTCATTTTTTAAGATAAATGACAATGACCTCCGGGGTTCTACTCCGGATATCGCATACTTTGAAAAAAAAAAAGTGGTGTCATGTCGAGCTTTTCAAAAAGTATATTTATTTGTGCAATTGAAATCGTAAATTTCCATGAATCTCAAAAAATATTCAAATAATAATAAGGTAAAAGTACCTATTATTGACACCCTATTTAATTTTATTATTTCATTATTAAAACCTGTTAATAATCACAATTGTTGATATTTCATAACAATTTTACATATTTTTTAAATTAAAAAATAGTAAAATTTAATTCCAAGGTATAAACTATTTACCGCAAAAAAATTTCATTTTTTCAAGTAGGCCATAACTGCTTATACGTTTGTAATTTCTTAACAGTATTGTTAAGAAAGACCTTATTTTCAAATCCAGATTTCTCAATGTTTTTTTTTATGTAATTGCATTGTTTAAAATTATCTTAGATTATTTATAGTCTAAATAACTATATGATATACACTAATTTGGTTATTCATGTTATTATTACAATCCACATTGTCATCAGTCATCACACATACATGCGTACTCATATATATATATATATATTTATATATTTTTTTTTATTTAATATAATACGGGAATTGTGCGTGATGATTCATTTTTATTTTATCGGGTAATTATTTTCCTTCTGCGTCATTTTTTAAGAATAACGCTCATTAATTGTAATGTCATAAATGATAAAATTATTAGATTAAATTCCCTGAAAACTATAAAAAGTTTATTAGAAAATAAAATAAAAAATAAAAAAATTTTATGGAACTAAAATTGAACATTTTTTTTTGACAAATAAATTATGACAAAAAAAAAAATCGATTTTTAGAAGTTGAAAAAATGATGCAATTTCTTTGTCTCAATTTATTTGTTAAAAAAAAAATTGTTGAACAGCCAAATTTCAGTTTTATAAAATTTTCTTAACTCAACTGTTGAATAAAAAAAAAAAAACAAGTTATAAGTAAATAAATAAATAAATATATCAATACCTTCCCTAGACATCCCCATACCTTGTAATTACAGAAGGCAATTCAACCTTGACAGGTAATCTTAGTTTATGCATATTATTTATAATTTATAACAAATAATTTACAATTTTAAATAAAAAACAACAAATATAAATAATTATGCACAGAACACAAAACTCACTGTGCTGTGCAATAACTGAAAAAAAAAATAGAAAAAAATTAAATATTATTAATTAATCAACACGTTTTTAGTGCGTGCGCAACAATCATGTGATTTTAATAAAATTATGATAAAGCACTTTGATATTTACAAAAAAAAAAAGTAAAATGCAAATAGAGTAAAATTCAATAATAATTAATAAAAATAGTTACTAAAAAATAGTAATTTTAATTGTAATTGAATATGAATAATAAATGATTAATTATACGTTTTTTACACAAACTAACCAAACAAATAAAATAAAAATGACGGTGAATAAAAACACTTTGTTAGCTGGATCGCAATTCGGAAGCTGATCTATGACGCAAACTCACTAAAGTTAATCACTGACATTTTTTTTTTATTAATAACCGTTAATCACGGTACATAATCACTCTACATACATATAATATAATGTAATGCAGTGTAACTGTTATATTTTAATTATTTTATCGTTTTTATTAAAAAGTTTAATTTAATAAAATTGCACTGAGTTTTATTGCGAAAGCTAACACCGAATTATTATTAACTTTTGTCTATATATCAATATAAATATTAATAATATACATTGTACATTGCAAACAACTATTTTTCTAGTTATCGGAGTACGTTTTACTCACACATTGGCGTCTAGTAAGTTATTGTTTATTTTTACACTGCTGCCAATCATTTTAAGTGACTGCGGTTGCGCGGTTATTTTTTGAATTCCCCAGATTTTACGCGGGAAATTTGAATAAAAAAAATTAAAAAATTATAATATTCTTCATAGTTACAAAAAAATTATTGCGATAAATTACTAACTACTAAAAAAATAATTTAAAAATTTTTCAAATTTCGCGGGAAAATTTAATGTGAAAAATAAGCAAAAAAAAAATATTTTTTAAACTTAGAAAAAAATTAAAGAGTATATTTACCTCAGTAATGCTTTTCTCCAGCAATAATCAGTCTCAATTACCAGTAATTGCAATTTCATTATATACGTAGAAGTTGCACCGGACATGGAAGAGTCCACAATTAATTACAGTAACTAATGATAATCAATAAATTAATACTTATTAATTAGAATAAATCGCTCGATATATATATTTAATTTTCTACAGTAATTAATGGATTTATATGATTAAAAGTACACACTAAAAAATACCCTTATAAAAGGGCCCATACAAACACAATAAAAAAATAATCTGAAATCTGAGGTATTTTTGCTTAATTTAATTAATCGTTAACAATGATATCAATAGTGAAATAATTATAAATATGTTTAACGTTGATAAAAGACAGTGGTTGAACCGCTTACGCGGATTCACTACTGACGAAAAATTCAGGGCCGATAGTCGACAAACCTTGCGAATAAGGGTCAGTAAGAGCGCAAGCGCTCGCTGATAGATCGAATTTTTATCCCAGCTTTACTCACCGATTTCTCACATCCACGATAGCAATTCCATTGTATTATTATATGTTTTGCGTAGTATGTAGGTAAGAAAATATATATATTGACTTGTGACGTCATTAGACTTTTCATTCACGAATGTTCCACGCCCACGCGACACAATAGTTATAAATTTTTATACTGCACTGATATATCATTAGATTGAGTTCTTTTTTATTAATCATTTTTCCATCGTGATTTATTATTACAATCATTTGATATTTTAATCTGGAGATTTCAGAAGTTTATTGACTTCAAATCATTATTATTATTATTATTATTATTATTATTATTATTATTATTATTATTATAAGTTATCGCAATCCTGCAATAAAAACCTAATTCATCGCGATTTTCTAATCAAAAAAACGAAATTAATGTAAAATTTTTACTATTTAGATTGAGAGATTACAATGATGTAAATTTTTGGCAAACTTACCCAGAAAAAAAAGCTTGCTTGAATCAAGTAAATAATTTTGAAGAACTTTGAATTGAGTAGAAAAATTTGACTGCCCAATTTCAAAACACAGTAACTAACATTTAAAATTTTTTTTATTAAAAAAAAGTCAAATTAATGACAAATTTGATTTATGAATAGAAAATACTCAAATATAAATATTTTTAAGAAAAAATACTTGAAATTAAGGTTTAAAAGTTATAAAAAATGCAGCAATACTAAAAAAAAATTAGATATAAAAATTTTGCAGTTACTGTGTTTTAAAATTGGGCAGCCGAATTCTTAAGCTAAGAAAATTTTTCTTGGTTTAAATAAATTTTACTTAATTCAAGACAATTAAATTTTTCAAAATTATTTTCTTGGTTCAAGAATTTTTCTCTTGATTTAAGTTAATTTTTTTTTCTGTGTATAGCTATTTTTTCCACTGCTCAAAAAACGATTGATTTGTTTAAAAGCTCTGTCTTAAAATTTTATGTCTCAAAAAGTCATAGTTTGTGAAGAACAAAATTTTCTTTATACTACCGATTTCACGTGACCTGCATAAATGCATATGAAGTCGATTCTCGGGAATACCATTTTTAACGGATCTCTAATAAATAAAAAAAAAAAATCTGCCAAATTTGAATCCTCTTTCCTTAGGAATTTTAATTTGAAATGATTCAATCCATGCAAAGTGTATATTAGTCAACTAAATTATGGTTTAAATTAGAGTTCTTAATCAGGATTAGTTTAAGAGCTTCAGAAATTTTAGAGTACGTAAACTCTAAAAAATTTCCTTTCGCAATTTTTTCTTTAGAAATCAATTTAAACTTGTCAGTTTTTAGGTCCAAGGTTGGAATTCTCCACGTCTTCTAACTTATCGAAGGCATAGAAATATGATACGGTCTTAATTAATTAATTTTACACATTCCTGCGAGATTATTACTCATGCGAAAAAAGTTTATAAATTAAAAAATCGTTTTCCCGTTTAATCAAAATTATTAAATTCCTTCTAAGCGATTACTTATTTTTGCTCGTAAAAGTTCTAAGCAATAAAATAGTTTAAAGAAAAATAATTTTTCAAAAAATAAAAATTTTTAGATTTTTTTTCCATTTTTGAAAAAAAAAATTTTTAATTGAAAAATAATTATTTTTTTTATGTAAATTATTCTATTTCTAAGAACATTCTAAAAAGAAATACATTTGGATTGTCTGGAAAAAAAATTTATTATTTTCTTTATTGTTTTCAAACAGTCTGAAAAATAATAATTGAAAATTTAAATTGCCTATACGCTTAAACCTATCCACTGCAAAGACAAACAAAAAAAAAATAAAAAATCGGTTAATAATTGCGCGAGTTACCTATGCGATCAATTTGGAAAAAGTACACAGAAAAAAAAATTTACTTGAATCAAGAGAAAAATTCTTGAACCAAAAAATTAATTTTCAAAAGTTTTATTGTCTTGAATCAAGACGAAAAATTTTTTAATCAAGTGAAATTTACTTACACCAAGGAAAATTTCTTAGTTTACAAATTTTTCTACTCAAATCAAGGAGATGAATTTCTCCAAAATTATTTATTTGATTCAAGATAATTTTTTTTTCTGTGCAATTTCGAGAAAAACATGTTTAAAGTTTTTAGATGAAAATTAATTTAGCAGATATTTGATAATTTTAAGAATTTTTTTAACAAAAAATTATGACAAAAAAAAGTAAGAAAAAAAGTCACATGTAAAAATTTAAAAAATAAAAAAATGCAATTTTTTAAAAATAATTTTTTTGAAAAAATCTATTTGTTAAAAAAAAAAATCTATTTGTTTAAAAAATTAAAAAATGGATAATAACAAAGTTAGCCGACATTTAAAAATTTTTTAATTTTACTTCATTTATTAAATTAAAACTAAAAAACATTTTTTAAAATTGCACTTACAGTTTGTAAAATTTTTTACAAGTGAATTTGTTTTTTTTTTTATTTTTTTATAATAATTTTTTCAATATAAAAAATTCTAAAAATTTTTAGATGTCGGCTAACGTAATTTTCATAAAAATGGTTTCTATTTTTCTCAGTATGAAATCATATATCTTCGTTGATCAATCTATTCTAACTAACATGTCTGTAACTCAATCAATTTTTTAAATTAATGTACACTTTTTTTTTTAATATACAAACTTTAATTTAGATGAAAAAAAATTTTTTTAATCCATTACAGTGGCCTTGCCCCTTAACTCAAAATTTTGTTTTAAATGTCTAGGTATGTACTTACAGTTTGACAATTGATATTAATTCTCTTTTAACTAATTCTTTTATCAAAAGTGTCACACGTATTTTTATTCTGAAAAGATATATGACACTAAAGTTAGCAGACGTCTAAAAATTTTTGATTTTTTTTTTAAATTAAATTACAACTAAAAAAAAATTTCTAAAAAATTGCACTTGAAGTTTTTCAAGTTTTTAACATGTGAATTTTTTTTTTTAATTATTTAATTGAAATTTCTTCAATAAAAAATTTCTAAAAATTTTGAATTGTCAGCTAACTTCATTTTCATAAAGATATTCTTAATATCGCAAAAACATTACTTGTAATAAAATAATTATTATTACCTATTATTTTAATTATCATTAAAATTCCTCAGGTATAGAATAAAAATAAAATTCAAACAATTCCCGCCGAATAATATATCCGTTTCTCAAATAAGTAAATAAAAAAACATCATCAGAAAGTGCTGCCACGTTTAAGAATGACGTTTCTGCGTCCACGTTGTCAAACGTCACTCCACACACTCACACTGCAGTCGAAACCACGCATGCGTCAATTGCTAGCCACTGACTAAAAACTCAAGCAACAAAAGTAACTCTCGGACTGTCGAAAAAATAATCTATTTACTCCAATTTTATAACTAAAAACCACCGTAATTTTTTGTCTAATTACTTGAAGAATAACAAAGCAAAAATGACTAGCAAATCAAAAGCTTTTACTAAAGAAGAAGAACTTTTGCTCCAAGATTTTTCTCGCAATGTATCTACCAAATCATCAGCGTTATTCTATGGAAATGCCTTTATAGTATCGGCTATTCCTATATGTGAGTACTTTTATTTAATTAATTAATTATTTATCTAATTTAAAGGAAGAAATTTAGTATTTCTAATTTTATCATTTCTTCCTTGTCACCATAAATTATTAAATTTCTTCTCTTTATTTCAATTTGGGTTTTTAAAGTAACCTAACTTCATCTCAACTCAACATATTGTTTGTAAATAAATATTAATTATTAATTAATAATATAATTTTTGTTACAGGGTTGTTTTGGAGAATTCATTTGATTGATTTATACTCAAATGCCATTTCATTTGTATTAGTTACATTAATTAGCACATACTTAATGTCATTGGCTTATAAAAATACTAAATTTATCTTGAAGCACAAGGTAATTTATTTTATTTATTTTTTTGATAAATTATTTTATTCTTTTACTGAAATTAATATTTGACAATTTTTAGAAATTTTTTTGATAAATAATTTTATATCAAGAAAATTGAAAATAAATTTTACATATTGAAATTTTAATGGAACTTTAATTCAAGACATTTGACAGTTTTTGGAGTTATTATAGACAGATCAATTATATGAAAAAAAAAAATTTTTTTAATTTCTTCAGTAGAAAATTTAAAAAACTTATGTAATTTTTTTTTTGTTTTCTCAATAATAATTAATTTTTTAATAAGCCTAAAAAATAGTCAGGTGTACGACTTTCATAATAATAATTCAATTTATTAATATTTTTTAACTAACTGACAATTATAGTCTTTAGTCTTCTATAGTAATTATTTATAATTAATGATATAATGATGGAAATAATACTAAAGTTAATAGACATCTAACATTTTTGTAGTTTTCTAAACAGATACAAAAATATTTAATTGCAATTCCTTTTCAATTATTGTTTTTAATATTAATTAACAACTAACTAGCAACCTTGCAGTCACTATGTGACCGCCGTGACTTGTGAGCTATAAATAATATTTTGCTTTATTAAATAATGACTTTTGTTAAAATGCACTGTACTTTCTTAACTATTGACATTTTTAAAGATATAAGCTCATCCCGATATTACGCTCATCAAGAGCTTTCATTTGAGTACCTACATGTATTTTGATATATTTTTCATATATTCATGTATATAAATATATGAAAAATTGATGTAGGTACTCAAATGAAAGGTCTCAATGAGTGTAATGTCGGGGTGAGCTTATATCTTTAATAATGTCAATGGTTCACAAGACTATTTGTTAAATTGCATTGTAATTTTTTAACCATTGACATTTTTAATGATATAAGCTCATCCCGATGTTACACTTATCAAGAGCTTTCATTTGAGTACCCACATGCATTTTGATATATTTTTCATATATACATATATATAAATATATAAAATATATGAAAAATTGATGTGGGTACTCAAATGAAAGGTCTTAATGATTGCAATGTCGGGGTGAGCTTATATCTTAAAAAATATCAATATTTCACAAGATACAAGGTCATTTCTTAGTTATGTATCTAGAGATAAAGTATTTTCGAATGAAGCCCAAATACCTATCATAATAAATTAACTATTGGTGAGAATGATATGAAACCTTGAAAAGGCACAAATTCAAGTAACAAACTTTGCAATGACACTAAATTTCACTATAAAAAAATCTATTTAATCATATGACTATCCTGGATACAAAATTTTGCCTATTCTCTTAATAATATAGATTAAAATTACTAATAAAAAATAAAATTTAGATTGCAGTAAAAAGAGAAGATGCAGTAACCCGTGACATGACCAAAACCCTCGCAGAAGACAAGAAAATGAGCAAGAAAGAAAAAGACGAAAGAATACTGTGGAAGAAAAATGAAGTTGCCGATTACGAAGCTACTACTTTTTCATTATTTTACAACAACGCTCTTTTCTTAGCGGTTGTTATCTTCACGTCTTTCTACATCTTGAAGACATTTACACCTGCATTCAATTACATCTTGTCTGTCGGTGGAACAAGTGCGCTGCTAGCTCTCTTGTCTACTGGATCTCAGTAAAGAAATCTATTTAAATTTATTTAAAGTAATATTTGCAATTAAATTTGTAATTTTTGATAATAAATATCTAAATTGTTTATAAACAATTATTTCTTTTACTAGCACCGAATTACGAATTTAAATAATTTCGCAGTTGGATTAGGTTCATAATTTTCACTTTTGTTAATTTTTGTTGATAAATCTTGAAGATGATTTATTATTTGGATAAATAATGTAAGTAATATGAATTATGTTTTATGTTACTATTATTATAATATATAATGCTGTTGTACTGCCAACGATTTCGTCAATCGACAAAAAGTACCGAGAATAATTGTATACAATTTATACATGTGTTAGGTGTTTTTAGACAAATTGAAAGGTACGTTTCGTATGTATATGACATTATGTTTATAGTCTATAGTTCTAGCCAAATAATTTTTACAAGAACTTTCCCAATCATGACGGGATTTCCAGTAGGTAAAAAATATTACTTTTAACATTTATTTATATCTTTTACGACTTACATTTACTTTTAAAATATTGATAATAATAATCATAATAACTGGCAACCTCGCAGTCAATATGTGACTACCGTGACTTGTGAATTATATATATAAATAAAATTTTGCTTTTTTAAATAATTACTTTTGTTAAATTAGACTGTAATTTTTTAACTATTGACGTTTTTAAAGATATAAGCTCATCCCGATGTTACACTCATCAAGAGCTTTCATTTGAGTACCCACATGCATTTTGATATATTTTTCATATATACATATATATAAATATATAAAATATATGAAAAATTGATGTGGGTACTCAAATGAAAGGTCTTGATGAGTGTAACATCGGGATGAGCTTATATCATTAAAAATGTCAATATTTCACAAGATACACGGTCATTTCTTAATTATTGTCATTTTTAAAGATATAAACTCATTTCGATATTACACTCATCGGGACCTTTCATTTAAGTACCCACATGGTATTTTTTATATATTTTATATATATGGTATTTGTGAAATATATAAATATATAAAATATATGAAAAATTGATGTGGGTACTCAAATGAAAGGTCTTGATGAATGTAACATCGGGATGAGCTTATATCTTTAAAAATGTCAATATTTCACAAGATACAAGGTAATTTCTTAATTATGCATCTAGAGGTAGAGCATTTTCAAATGCAACCTAAATACTTATCATCATAAATTGACTATTGGTAAGAATGATATACTGATAAAAAAATTAACTTGACTGAAGAGCCAAAATCTTGTACCAAGAATACCATTTTAAAGAAAATGATTTTCTTGAGTCAAGCGAATAATTTCTTGAGACAAAAAAAATTTACTTTCTTGACTCAAGAATTTATTCTCTTGGCTCAAAAAAATTATTCTTTTCAAAATTTTATTCTTGATTCAAGATTTTGGCTCTTGAGTCAATTTTTTATAAAACCATGAAAAGGCACAACCCCAGGTCAAGATTTTGCCAACGATACCAAATTTAACCATGAAAACCCATTTTATCATATAAATACAATGGCCACAAAATTTTACTTATTCTCTTAATAATATAGATGATAATAATAATTATAAACATTATTATTTTAGTATATAATTAATTTTTTTCGGATGATTTCATATTTCTTCTTAAATATTATTAAAAATAGAACAATTAAAAAAAATCATAAAATATAAATTTTTTAATTTGATATCTTTTCAATTATAATTTAAATCATTTCGATAAAAGTTTTCATGAAGCTTAAAACAAAAAATTTTAATAAAATCAAAATAAAAAATATTGACAATACAAATCAATTTAATTCCCTAAAAAAATCAATAAACTACATAAAACTAATAAAAGTAACATTTATTACCCCAACAAAATATCATTATCATCAAATTTACATATGAATATCTCTTCCAGTTGTTTTTCAACAAACAAAAAATATAATATTGTTATTGTTATTGAACTTTAAAGACCGATTTAATTTTTAATACACGCTAAATGTTTTTCTGTATTATACTATTATATTTATTTTTCGTTTCTTTATCCCTCGTGTCTGAAAATAGCCCACAAACTAAGTAGCAGTAACAGAAGCAACAGAAGAAGAAGAAGAAGAAGAATATAGTATAGTAGAAAACTATATAGATCTATATGTATATATATATATGAGTTAAAAATCAATTTTAAGAACCCGTGCTACCGCTTTAGAGCTTGAAGTCAACAGGGATTGGCTGGAGCTTAGAATTACATCGGGTTTCGAGCCGTCATTGCATACGCAACCGCTATATCCGCGGTTTTGAATATTACGGAGATCAGGTCTCTCATCGGGCCAGTCTCTAAAACATCCAGGCCAAAGTACCTTTTATCTACATTCGTTAAATAAACCATATTAATTGTTTACTCGTTATTAAATATTAATTAATTTTTAATATCAAGATGGTATGTTCTATTGATGATGATCTTGTAAGTCGTCGGTTTGGTAAACACACACGTTATCTTCGCTACTCTCTACTTATTAATTTTATTTATTTACTATTTTTTTATTAACAATCTTCGTCACTCTCTAAATCTAAATTGCTTTATATATTTCTTCTTTTAAAATTAAAAGAATCTTTAATATTCTTCTTCAGTAAACAATTGGTTGGCGGTATTTTTATAAATCTATTTTATTAAAAATAAATACTGTGAGAGTTTACCAATGTAACGACTGTCATTTAATTATTAATAAATAAATAAATTAAGTTATTCAAAATTTTTTAAATCAAATTTATTTTGTTAATTCTACGCATGACTATTTTATTTCTTCTTTTTAAAATTCCACTAATTGGCAATAAAATTTAGATAATAAGAAATAGTATTAAAATTTTTACTAATTAATTTGTTTTCTTCTTTATTAAATTATTAGGCCGACGAATTGCCAGCGGAACAAATTGCAGGTGAGTAAAAAAATTTTTAATTATTTATTAAATTTTAATTTAAAATTTAAAAAAATTTTCTAAAGTATTTAATTTGCAAATCATAAAAATCTAAAATTAAAATTTAATTAAATTTAAAAATAAAACGCGGACATTAACATCAGTCTAAAAATAACTTATAAGTTCTAATCTCTATACTAATTCTAGCTGAGTTAAACGCGTACATAGAATATTATATATATAAAATCTAAAATATCAAGTTGTTTTTTAGCGAATCGGATAAACAATTTGTTATTTAACAGAGTTAAAATTATACAAGAGTGTAAATTATTGCTTGGCATTCATTCAAATCACTTTTCACTTTAATTTAATTTTATTGATTTCTGTTTTATTAATAATAATTTTAAATTTGTTTGGTTTAGTTTTACGCAAAGCTTTTGACAGCTTCGACCGAGACAAGAGTGGAAGCATCCCCACTGATATGGTGGCCGATATCTTGAGATTGATGGGGCAGCCGTTTAACAAAAAAATTCTAGATGAATTGATCGACGAAGTTGATGCCGACAGTAATTATTTTAAAACTTAAGAATCTTAAGAAAAAAAAAATTAGTTGATAGTTAATTTTTTTTTTCTTCTTTTAGAGTCCGGGAGGTTGGAATTCGATGAATTCGTTACACTTGCGGCTAAATTTATCGTTGAAGAAGATGCTGAAGCTTTAGAGAAAGAACTTCGTGAAGCTTTCCGACTGTATGACAAAGAAGGTACAATTTTAATTATTCAATTTTTTTTTTAACATTTAAAGTTCAGAGAATATGACTAAAAATAATTATTTGAAGAAATAGTTAAAAATTAATTGAAGAAATGATTTTTTAAAATTCTCAAAAAGCCTATGAGTTAAATGTATAAAAAAAATAAAAAGAAAACTTGAAATATGTGTTCAAACATTAAAATAAAATACATAAGAGTTTTTCGGAGGAAGAAATTTGAAACCGAGCCAAAAAAAGAATCAAGTTAAGGCAGCGCGATGTATAATATAAGAAATGGATGTACTGGAATAAAATGAAAGATTAAACGTAGACGGAAATAGATTTTTGCTCCAGAAATATACCTCAAAAAAATTCTCAGTTAAAAAGAATTAATTTGACATTAAAAAATGACTATTTTCAATTAAATTTGTATTATCCAGAAGAAAATAATAATTAATTTAATTGGATTTAACTGTTAGCGTTAATTTTCTTAAATGGGTTGCGCAACAATTTTATTTATATTTTACTCCCAAGTTTTAAAAGCATTATTAAGTTCAACGCTCACGATTATTATCCAATCTGTCTGGCTGATTAATTTATTAAATGTTCCATTTACTTTAAATAAATGAAGCTTCACCTGTTTTCATTTATTATTTCAAGTATTTCATATTAAGTAAAATTTATAATTTTTTCTTTTTAGGAAATGGGTACATACCAACAACATGCTTGCGTGAAATTTTGAGGGAGCTGGATGACCAACTGACTGATGAAGAACTAGATATCATGATTGAAGAAATTGATTCTGATGGCTCTGGAACTGTTGACTTTGATGGTATGTTTTAATTGTTCTATTATATTATAATTGGAAATTTTTCTTCATCTCACAGAATCAAAATATTAAAGAAAGTATTGAACTAAGCAATTTACATTTAACATTCTACCCTCCAAAATTGCGAAATAACTCATTTATGACATTTCAAGTTCATTACCAAGAACTTGACATTGTCAACAACACCTATCAACATAAATAAATAAATAAAAGTATCATCTTCTTAAAAACTTAAAAATAACTCAAGACAATAACATTTACATCTGATAATTTTTTCATTAAAAAAAATAAATATTTAATAAATTTACATTTATAGTAGGGTGGCGCAAAAAAAAACCGACTATTTTTTTTTGAGTCTCCAAAGAACAGCTTAAAAAAAATTTTTTAAGAGGTCGCTCCAAATTTTTTTAAATTTCAAAAATCGTCAAAAATCGAATTTTTTTTTTTTTTATTTTTTTTCTCGTTACGTCATAATTTTATAGACAAAAAAAAAGGTTTTTCTGAAAGTTTCAGTTCAAAATGTGAATTTTAAAAGGTCGCTCATAATTTTTTTTAAATTTCAGAGTCAAAAAATGCTAATCCAATTAAATAGTCACTAATAAATTAAAAAAAATTATGAGCGACCTTTTAAAATTCACATTTTGAACTGAAACTTTCAGAAAAACCTTTTTTTTTGTCTATAAAATTATGACGTAACGAGAAAAAAAATTAAAAAAAAAAAATTTCGATTTTTGAAATTTAAAAAAATCTGGAGCAACCTCTTAAAAATTTTTTTCACTCGACTCAAAAAAAAAATAGTCCATTTTTTTGCGCCACCCTAATTTATAGTTTTAAAAATTCCTACAAATAGATTTTTTTTTTCAAAAATTTTTTCCTATAATTTACTTGTTAACAATTAAATTGTCAAGTGTCTGTTATCTTCATTGATTATTTTCCCAATACAAGCTTTATACTAATAAATAATTTTATTATTTTATTTCTTTAGAATTCATGGAAATGATGACCGGCGAATAAATCAGCCGCTGCTTTTTTTTCAATTATTTACAACCCGTTAAACTACATAAATTAAAGAAGAAATAATTAATAATTTATTAATTGTTTTGGCATTACCTTTCATACGTATTTATTTTTACAACACTCTAGAAGATAAAAACAAATTGTTAATAAAAAATAAAATATTTATTAAAATAATAATAATGATATTAATAATAATAATGATAATAATAAATTAATATTTATTTCCTAATTTTTATTTCATTACTTTATTTATTTATAACTTAAAACTATTTGATGTTTATGATCACAATTTTTATTCCTAATATAATTGACATAACTATTAATCATAACTTTAATTAACTATTTAATTAAACGGACTAGTTAATTAAATACATGACTTTGATTATGAATTTATGATTTTCGATTTATGAAATATGAGTTATGACTTTGTACGACAAAAAAAAAATTGTATTCGCAATGGCCGGTATGAGTTACGTGAAGCATATAATTTTTCCATTTTCTGTATAGTACTTTTTTCATTCAATTTAATATTTTTTACTACTTAATCAATAAATTTAAGTGAATTTTATTCACTAGATAAATTCCCAAGCGTCGCTAGTTTAGAACTAAACTTAATAGTATTTTCTTTATTTACAATTTTTATATTTTTTTTTTTTTTTTTGCTTAAACGCAAAAAGTAAGTTCAACTAAATAACGTGCTGTTAAACAAATTTGACTAATTAAATTGAAAGAAAAATAATAACTTTACCTTATATTTATACAAGCGTTTGTAAATCATCGTCCTCGACCTCCTTGTACAAGGAGGAAGACAATATATGTCACATTTTAAATAGACTAGGAAATTCATTACTAATTTCACGTATTAGTTTCTGATCACCTTGACTCTCAGGGCCTTCTTCGCAGAATATTCGGGTGAAGCATTTCAGCAGGTCTTCTGAGCGATGTCGATGATCGTCGTAACCTGTCGTTCGTAAAACACGTCTGCATAGTTCTAAGTAAAGTCGTCGCTGTAATAAAAAAAATAAAATTTAGTTCCTGATTTAGAAAAATGATTTAAAATGTTTACCGTCATGTTAATTGTATATCTATATAGTATTAAAATCCGATGCTTTTAAATCATTTTATTAATTTATTTATTTATTGTTCTACAGTAGAATTCTTTATAAAATCTAGTGATTTTATAATTTTATCTAATTCTTCATTTTTTTTCAATTTTTCATTTTTTAAATTCGATTTCTTAATCAGGGTAGTTATTAACATTTCTTTTATAAAATTTTTGGATAATTATGTCGAAAAGGGGCTACATCAATTTTCAATTTTCAATTATAAAAAAATTGACATTTGTGTTTTTATTTTTCAACGCCGTTTTCTTTTAAACAGAATAATGATAAAAAAAAAAATTTGAGTTCAAAAAAAATTTTATAGGGATTCTTGGATTAAAAAAAAATTTTTTAATCGTTCTTCTTTTAATGCGCAACACGAAAAAAAAATTTACATAAAAATTAAAAAGTTAATGTATCTTCACCTTTAAATTGTTGATCAAGAATCAAAATTTCAATTTAAGGACTTTACAAATCCAAAAATTATCATGAAATTCATTTTTTGAAAATCAAACTAGCTTTTATTAAAAAAATTAATAAAATCTTTAATTTTCGATTTTTTAATTACTAAAAATTGTTTTTTTCTTCTATATTTATATGTAAATTATATATGTAATCTGAGGTCACTAATAACCAAGCAGTTGATGTGACCATAAATTTATTAAATAAAAAAAAAAGAAAAAATTACTAAAAATTGATGAAGTCCCGCTTTTATTTAATTGCTTTTTTCATAAAATTAAAAAACTAAATATTTTAAAGCAAAACTGAAATTCAAAAAAATTTTTTTTCCTTGGACTAAGGTAAAGTACCCAGTAGTTGAACAGGTTTAAAAGTAAAACGTATTTGACCCTACTTTTAATCTATAGAGATGTAATTATTAGTTCACATTAATGATTTTCATGAAAATATAAATAATTTTGAATTGATTGAAGCACAAAATAACGCAGATAATTGGATATTTATATTTTGACAACGTTTTTAAGATAGACTATGAAAGGAGAAGTAGTTAAACAATCAATTATGCTGAGCCACAGTAGTTGAACACTCCAGGAGCAGTAGTTGAACTAACAAAATATATCACAATAGCCACAGCAAAAATTTTTAACGTTTTATTGAAATATCAAAAGAATTATAATATATTATTGAATAATATGAAAAATAATACTATGAATATTTAATGTGTTCATTTAAAAATGAAAAATATTTGTAATATTTTTTAATTACATTTTTTATGAATGACAAAGCAAATTTTCAATTATAAATAAAAAAAAACTCAATTCAAAACATTCAATAATATTTAAATACACTAATTTTTAGTTATAAAACTCATTTAATTTGCAGTAATTAATACAAATCACAATTCTGATCACTAATCTATAGATTTATTAGTTGAGAGTTTAGAGTGCTGTTAAAATTATACGGCCCCAGCTTGTTCAAGTTCTGAGTACCGCTTTCAAAATTTGGAGGTATAGTTAAACGCTAAAATTTAATGTAAAAATTATAGTTTATGTCTTTGCAAAAAATATGTATTATTTAGAAAAGACTATTTCATTGGGTGGTACAATTTTTTTTACTTAAAATGATGATATACCGTTTTTTTACTGATTGTTCGGTTTACGGTTTAGTACCTTTCTCATGAAAAAAATTGCATCTATCGGCTATTCTAGACATGTCAACTTTTTAGTTAACAAAAATATAATTGTTTTGATTTATAATTAAAAAAACATACTGAAATCATTTACTGTATCATTTAATAATTATAATATGCACATATTACTCATGGGGCATTCCATGCGAAATGAGAAAAAGACTAAAATTAAAAAATTTCTCTAATTCATTTTAATTTATTCCTAATTTATTATTAAAGTTTAATTTATTATAATAGTTTTAAAAACAAATTTATTTTATATTTGTTATTAACTAACATATTTGTTATTATAGTTTTAAGAACAAATTTTTTTATGTTGGTTATTAATTAACACCTAAGTTTATCAAGATCGTGTTGTCGTCAGCATGCTAAATCCATATGCAAATTTATTTGTTTTTTAATTAGTTTTGTTAGACATTTTGTACTTGTCACACCAGTCACAATAAAAAAAATTTTTTTTATTGTTTCTACATAGAGGTAATCAGTCTAATTCTTCATAACATTGAATGTTTGTAGGATAAATTTTGTATTGAGAAGGAAGTATTTTTTAAAAGTTTAGTGGTCGAACTAAAATTGGACTTTAAGTATACCGCGGTAAGAGAGAAGGATTTTTCGATGTCCCACTAGTCACACTCAGTCAAATGATAATTACGAGAAACAAAAAGTAATCGAGATTTTTGACAAAGGGATGTTGTTAATTAGTTATTCTTCTATATTATAAGATTAATTTTACTATAGTATAAGTTTATTACATAATTATAGCTTATAATTGATGGAATTCCAGAGTCAAATGTCCCACCAGTCACTATGGAATGCCCTTCATAATAAATTTACGAATTTTGTATTACAACAATTCGAAAAGTCTGTTTCAAGTACTGGTTTCATTTTTATAAATGTTTAAGTACTGAGTACTTTACCTTTTATAATTTTTGCTTTTTTAGCGCATTTTATGACAATAAGGACATAGTTCTGACATTTCTAGACATTACCAATTTTTTTCATTTTCATAAAAAATTTTTTAATGTTTTTCTTTTTTGATTATGGCTAAAAATAAGTGGATCCCTACTTCTACATAATCTCCCTCGCCAATAAAAAAAAAAGTATAAAAATTACCTTATCTCCTGGTGGAATGTCAAACAGCTGTCTGAGCACAATATCAATCAACACCTTGATATCATTAGTATAAAACAAATTCGCAGTGACCTCCATGGAAAAAATATCAATAAACAGCTTCAACACCGAGTGCATCGGAGCCGGCTGATGATCAAAGATCCTCACTGGATCCTCTTCACGGTTCAACAAAAACAGTATCTTCTGGGTAAAAATTTTCGCATTAGTCCTTTCTCTCAGTGCCATCATGAAAATATTCTCATTGACATTCGCATTACTATTGCTTGTCGCATTAAAATTAAACTGCAAATTATAAGCGAGGATCAGGTTAGTGAACAAATCAGGAATCTGGTCTTCCAGGTCAGTATCAGGCGGATCCTCGATACCATCTAGCAAAAATGCAATGAACTCAACACCTAAATACTCTAGATGGGTAATAGGCATGGGTTCAGCCATCGAGAAGATCATAGTCATCAGCAGCGAAGAGTAGTTTAACTTGGGGACATTCCTGGGATTGCTGGTCATGTCCCTCGCGAGTTCCATAGGAAGAATACTGTTCAGCATGATTCCCACCACCACCGGATCTAAACTACACATCACTCCAAAAGACTGGAGCAACAATTGCCTGATAGTCCACCTGGCCTCCATCTGGTAGTACTCGATCAGAGTCATGATTCCGTTGTACTGATCCTGTCTCAAGGCATGTCTTGACACACTGGCATCAGCGTTGGTTAGAATGGACGTCAACTCCTTTATGTACTCAACGATTATCGACTCGTCTTCGTAAAGCATCCAGCTTCGCTGCTGGGAGTCTTCCTTGCAGGAAGTCAGTTCATCAAAAATAATCTTGAGGCGTGTCGAGTCGTAGGTGTCCTCGATTCGCATCTTCGAGTTTAACAGCGGCATATGCAACTGACTCAGCACGGTATCAAAATAATGAGACACTGAGCCAGGAAGAAGTTGCTGGAGGCCAGAAACCACCACAGTAACTGCTAACTTGGACATTTCGTAGCTCAGCTGTGTGTTTTTTCTCACTTCGTCTAATAACTTGTAAGCAGCACGCGCATCTATTTCAAAGCTGGTGTTATTCAGCGAAGTTCGCGTCTGACGATTCGGGTTCGGCTTTTCCGAGTCAGGAACTCGAGGAGGTTCTGCTCTTGGAGGTTCTATTGACTTTGGAACGCTGTGCTCTGGTCTCGGCAAAGTCTCTCGAAGTTCTGAAGATAACTGCCGAGGAAAAGATGATCGACGTTCGGAATTCGAGTTTCGACGGTTGAAATCCGGAATTTTCTGCAGCTCTTCGGGAAGAAATGACTTGGCACTGGCGTACGAAGCGCTGGGTGTTGTTGAGTTCTCGGGTTTTGAAGAGGAAGATGAAGGTGTTGTGGTGATGGTCGTGGTTGGCGTGATGGTTACTGGGGTTTCTTTTATGGGGGAAGTGCTGCTGAAAGTTGGAGGCAATGGTGCTGGCTTTTTTGGCTTCCGACTCACTTCAGCTTGTCGTTTCTTTTCTACGAGGCGCTGCACTAAGTCTTGCTTGTCTATCGGTAATGGTGCTCCTGGTTTTACGAATTCGCTGCGCAGTTTGTCGATACATTCTTCCAAAAAGTCTATCATGAACTGGGGTTGAACCTGAAATAGATGGACAATTAGTGTTTTTGTTCTTGAGAAATTTAAGAAAAAAAATAATGAGTTTAGTTGTAATTAAGTTTTAATAAATTATTCATTTATCAATGAAGGTGAACATTTTTTTAATTCTATCCAGAGATTTTTTTTAATTAAGAAAATGGTAATTATTAAAAAGTGGGGTCAACCCCACTTTGGACCATAACTAGGTGAAAAATTAACATTATCAAATTTTTTTTATTCTGCTTATTTTTACGGCAGATTTATGATAAAAAATGTCGTGACAGAAAAAAAATAAATCATTATTGATTTCCACAGCTTTTTTACCTTCAAAATTTGGAAAAAATTTTGGCTCTCATATTTTTAGATAAAATTTGTATTTTATATTTTTTTTGATGCTTTGAGTATATATTTTTTTTTTTTTTTACGTACATAAAAAAACGAACAATCTAAAAAAAAATTGAATATCCAATTTTCTAAAAAATTTATAAATTTTTTTGAAAATTGTTCATTTTTTTATGTATTTTTCAAAAAAAAAAAAATATATCAATAAAATCAAATAGAAATTTCGCTAAAAAAAATTATCTCTATTGAAGAATTAAATCCTTTTATCAAATATGTCGTGAAAGAAAAAAATAAAGATTTCGATTGCTTTTTTGCTTTTAAAATTTGGAAAAAATTTTGGCTCTCATATTTTTAGATAAAATTTGTATTTTATATTTTTTTT